CATGCTCTCTCATCTGAGAATCCGACATAGGTGATGTTACTTGTTGAGGTCTTCTGCACATCTTGCAAAGAGACTCCTATCAGGGATAATTGGAAACCCAAGGCCTGCTAATATTCTTGCACAGGTATCTGGAATATGTTCCAGAAGCCTTTTTCAGCTGTGCATTTTTACGACCTTTCAAGACATCGCATAATAAAACCATCCTGGGGGAAGATGTACAGCAAATGCACTGCGCACGGAACTTGCTTCTCAACTACAACTACTCATGTCCAAGTTTTGGTTGAAAAAACGCGATTGCAGTATTTCTTGCAAATGTAAACTTCATAACCGTAAAAACTTTCTTACAAGCGACATTCGCAAAAACCAGAAGACTTTGTCTATGAATCCATATACAACAACTACTACGGACCCTTCAACATCCTCATAAAACATGCAAATGTCATAAGCTCAAGAATGCTTCACACTTGCAGGCTCAGAGTCAGGGTGCGATAGGGGGAGCAGAGTCCCCTACAGGTGAAGGGGGTTTTGGCTATTTCTGACAAAGAAAAGTGAAGGGGGTAATTGAACCTGAGATGATTGCTGTCGCAAGCTTACATGTTTAATGGGAGCGGGAGTGAAAAGAAGGAAAATGAGTGGTACAGAGATGCAATCTAAAGATTTCCTCGATGCTTACGCTTTGGAAGGTCATCCACCAGTGACTTTTTTGACTCAGGAAAGTCTTATGTTTCATCAGTCGACATACCATTTGAAAGCTTGGGAACAGAATTGACGTAGACCGTCTCTTTTTTCCAGCTCTCCTGTGAATTTATATTTAAAAAATCATATCTAGCTCCAGCACCAGCTGATTTTGTGCAATCACTTTGAGCTCCATTTTTGAAAGAAAGAGAAAAGCTAAAGAAACAGAGACGGTTTACGTTTACTGGCAAGGTCTTGCGTGATACTGTTAGACAATCAGGCACCATCATTCATTCCTCACGCAGAAATTTCTTGACAAAAACACATATGTTTTTAGCTAAAATGCCATGTATCTCTAGGTAGAGGAGAGCTAGAGAAAAGGAGACAGTCTATGTCGAATCCCTTTTTCGTGGGCTTCCCAACGGTATATAGGTTGTTGAGTGAAAAAACTTATGGCTTTTCAAAAATGAGGTGGACATATTCAATACTAACTTGCTCCACTCCGCTCCGGCTTTCTATGGGTCGCCGGAGCAAGACTTTTTTGGACTGGGAAAGCTTTGTACACCAACACTTTTACCACTCGATAGCTAAGAACACAAGGGACCGTTATAGACCGTCTCTTTTTTCGTAGATTTTCTGTAAAGCGAGATACGAGTAGTTCTATCTAGCTACGATATCAGCCAATTCTGAGGAACTATCTTTTCAAACCAAGAAGGTCTTTTTCGAACTTTTGTATATGATTCGAAAGCTTGAAAAACGAGTAATCTAAATGTTCTTTTATTTGTTATTATCTTCTACTAGCTGGCTTACCCGGCTCCGCCGTATGTTCCGAATAGAAAATTCCATTTCTTAACCGATCCGGACCAAACTTGGCACACATACACTTCGGGCCACGGCGGGTGTCACAGTCCACTTTTCGTTATCGATCGATGTCGATTTTATCGATTTTTTGCAAAATTTGAGCTAGGAGGCTGGAATTTGGCAGAGTGGTGTAATCGAGCATGCTGATCACCCCCACGGGGGTAATCAGCATGCTCGATTACCCCCCTGTGCCAAATTCCAGCCTCCTAGCTCAAATTTTGCAAAAAATCGATAAAATCGACATCGATCGATGACGAAAAGTAGCCTATGACACCCGCCGTGGCCCGTAGTGTATGTGTGCCAAGTTTGGTCCGGATCGGTTCAGAAATGGAATTTTCTATTCGGAACATACGTACAGACAGACATACAGACAGACATACAGACATACAGACAGACAGACAGACAAACAGACATTCAGCTTTATATATAAGAAGATAGTAAAAGGAGATATGGTACGGTTTTTGTCACTAAGCATGTATCCATCACTAGCTAGTCCAGATTCTCTACTCTTGCTCAACTTTTTCTTGCGAAAGTGTGCATTCATTGATATAATGTTAATTATTCAAAGAATTAGACATTCTTTTAATTTTTGATTATGTTTCGTTATAAAGGCCACTTTGAGTGCGCAGAAGGTCTCAAGCATGCTTTTTTTTTCAACAAAACGCTGTTGCTTCGGCACTCTCTTGCATTTTAATGTCTGACAATGAGGAGAAGAGCAGCTAGCGTTTCCTTTCCAAACAAAAAGTGCCGTTTTAACAGCTGTTTGATGCTGCCGTTATGCCTTGATTACAGTTTCAACCTCAGGTGAAAGGGGTCAGCCAGATGCCGGCACTAAAGTGAAGGGGGTCAGAGAAATTTCTCCATCTATCGCATCTGTGCTCAGAGTACAACTCCATGGGCTAATATCTTACACTTTTTTGTAACCTCTAACATCGCTTCAAATCCGTCCTCGCACTAACTGTGCAAAACTTCTTCGAAAATACCAATAGACTATGAATAGTAAAAATAATAGTAAAATCATAATGAGTCATCCTAAAAGTTGCTTTAAGCGCAATTCTCACAGGATCACTTCGTAAAAATTAGAGTTTACTCTGCATGCAAAAAATTGTCTTTTTCTCAAGACAAATTATGAAACGACTTATAATGTTCGCTGCTTGTCTATAAAGTACCTAATCGGGCCACGGAATGCCTTCAAATGTTGAAAAAACAGTCTGTATTGAAAGCGTTATCCTTCATAACCTACTCTTGGATTTTTCAGGTCTTGCACTACTCCGAACAAGTTCAGGGCTGCTTCAAGCTCTTGAAATGAAAGGAACCAGGAGGATACTTAGCGGATCGCATATTGAATAGCTGTCAAGGATTTGAGTTCAGATGTACAAAAGTATCGAAAGAGACGCAAAGAAAATGCAATCCTCAAAAAACTGAAATTTTTCTTGAATAAGTGTTTTTCTGTTTGAATTTGTTTCTTTTTTCCCATAATTAGTGAACGCACACGAAAACGGGCAAAATCGCAACTACTTTTCTGTATTACAGCATGCGGTGCATGAATGATAAATTTGGTAAAAATTATTACAGGCAAGGTTATCTTTGATTTTTTGAAATATTTTTGTCGTTGATGTGATAGAGTCTTCACCAACAGAACAGCAGGCGTAGTGCGGGGAAAAACCTGTTGACCCGCTGTAAAGATTCCTGACCATCGAACTGCATCTATCAAAGATACCATAGAGAGACATATGGGCATTTCCACTTTCACTTCCTCATATCAAATTGTCATTTTCTTGTGACACAATGATCAATGCGATGTTTACTATATAGTTTCTGATATTATTGATAATTGATGTTTTGTAACGCTGGCATAGAAGTCATGCTATAGTGGAACTAGCGAAAGCATCCAGTAAGAAAAGTTCTCGAGAGAAACGAACTCGAGATGGACACACATCAGGACATGAATCAACAACATTCAAAAGCATTTTTTGCTATAATTTGAGTGTTACAATGCGCTATTACTTCAGTGTCATTTCTTGTTATTGTCCGCCATACTCAAAAAACTTTGTTTTTGGATAACCTGTACTTGTGGTGATGTAATATCTTCTACCAGCAGAAACTGTTTATAGCTGTCGGGCTTCTTAGCTCGTCCCATGTTCACAACTGAGCCAATTGCCTAGTCTAGACTTGGCAATTGGCTCGTCGCATAGTACAGTACATGTTTTGGCTTCTCATTCATTGCCAAATCTATAATGTCTCAAATTGATTATGGTTTTTGATTCTTCGTTTGAAAAAGTAGCGTTTATCTTTTGAAAACCGCAATATCTAATATATAGATGAGTAACACATTGATCCGATTGATTCCAAAACATGCGTGAACATTCACCGATCTTTCCCGTAGTTTTTATAGTTCTTATGTAGAATCAAGTTTTCAGACGTCTAATGTGAATGTCAGCGTAGCCTGAAACGGCAGTATATAAATTGTATCAATGCTGACCTGTGCCAAGTGTGAGAATGAGTCTACACAGCTTTATCTAACTAATAAAAAAATTTTCTCTAAATCTACCTTCCATCACACTTTCCTTCCCCTATACTCCTACCTATTGTCCTTTCAACAATCACGTCTCTCAAATGATGGATAGAATTGACCGCACCAGCATCTAACGTGATGCAATTTCAATCAATTCAGTCTCCGCTTTTAATCCTCAGCCATTACAAGGCCTAACCTTGCAACTATTTCTGAGCTGATTATGTTTCGCAGTTAAAAGGTTACTGTCAGTACTTCCAAATCAAGTTAGAGAGATAGCGCACGCCTATCAGCTAGTACGGAGTATTACTAACAGTCTTCTTCAATCGCATATTACTAGACGAGAAATCAGTTATTTAAAGGTGCCAATTTGTATATGACTCTCATCTGTCGATAGTCTCCATTTCCTTTTCAATCGAAAAGCGCAGTAGTAAAGAATTTTTATTGCACTATCAGAATTGTGTCTATATGCGGTTTTGCTCAAAAGATATATTCCCAACAATAAGTTTGGCGAATGTGAGAACGTGCCGTAAGATCTTCTCGTAATGGATTTCCTAGCTAAGTAAAAACAGAAGAATCAATTTTTATTTTTACCTTTTGTGGGAAGCCGGGCTGTACACATTCTTTGACCTTCTCACACTCTTCTAGCATTTGCAGATCCTGCAAACACTTAATTTCAAGTCGTGAATTTCTTGCGGCATAGGCTTATTTGATTAAACCCTTCGTTTGCTTTATAGTAATGCTCATACATTCGTTTCCTGCCCATTCCGATGTAAATGCCATATTGTCGATATGATACGAAATTTGTAAAGCGAAAAATCCAGAATTTTACAGTAGTGATGCAAAATCCTAACATATTCATACATTTCCCAATTCGTGTCTCTAACACCTGCATTTTGAGATCACTCATTTGTACTTTTGAAAATCATTGCGTATACAAAACGGTAATTCAAAGATTTAGATCGCTGTCAAGTGGACCGGACTCATATGAGGATTGTTGTTTTGGTCGGTATAATCAGTACACTGGCGGTCGCTTTAGCCGCACCAATAGGTATGTTTTCCACAAGATGGTCGTACCTCTTGAATATTATGATAACAACTTGATTTCGATGCGCTTCACTTTCACGTTCCTCAATACCTGCGACTTCAAATCTCCACTACGAAAATGGGGCGCACAATCTGCTAACGCAAATTTAGAGTCTTGCTGCTTCCAGGATTTTGTGGACCAGATTTTCGAGTTTTGTCAATAGTGGCCTCCTCGTCCGTCATTATCGTTGTGACACAGCCTCATGTACAGTAGAGTACCTATGTGCGAAAAGTCGTAGTCGCCTATCATTTCAAGGAACTCGACAAGTGCGTTTCCCAGGGCTCTACTATCATTGAGACTTGACTCTGATGATTCATACGGGGATGAAGCATTCAATGGGCGATCGCTTTTTCCGTCAGTAGATCTTAAATCCGCATGCTTCATAAAGGTACCTGACAGGGCTCGGCACAGCTGGCACCGAGTCGAGCTGGATATCGTTTTGGGACAAAAAGAAAAGGAAATATTGTTTTTATAAATGAAAAGGCACGAAAATTGCAGAGTATTTTTTCTTTTTTACTCGATGTTCAGGTTTTTGAGAGTTTTTACGTTATTTAGGGTCAAAGGGGACTTCGTACGAAATTTTCAAGATGAAAGGGGAAACTCGTTTTGAGATTTCCCTGTTGCCAGCAGGGCTCGGCACGAGCTGGCACCAGGGAAATTTCAAAACGAAGTCCCGTTTGATATTAAAAATTTCGTACGAAGTCCCTTTTGACCTGTTTTGAAAACCCGTCATCATTTTTATATTATGTAAAAAATGTAGTAGTGTTTTTATGCATTTCTGATTTCATGAAAGAACTTTTCACAGCTTTCTGAGCTTTTTAAGTGGTCGAATCACATCTTAAGAAGCAGAAAAAGCCGATTTTTCGACTGCGGAGCGGACCGAGTGGTTTTCAAATTGCTATAAAACGCTGAAAAGAGAACCTTATGAAACTGTTTCTTCTCCGTGTGCAATCTTTTACACTGTAGATACATTTTATGTAAAAAAGTATGAAAACTTATGTGAGCAAAGTGTCGGTGCCAGCTCAGCTGGCACCCAGCTGGCACGGTGCCAGCTAATTCAGAAAAAAGTTCGGCACAGCTTTCATTCACATAAGTTTTCATAAATTTTTGGCCCGTAGTTCCGGTCCACCAACGCGCATGCACACACCAAATTTGGTGTCATACTATTGCGTTTTGGCTGAAAACAGCGCCTTTGTTTGTTGATGGACAGCTTGCCAATGGCATGCCGGTGGCATGCCGACGGCATTTTTGCGGCAGTTCTCCGCCTCGGCCCCTGTGGAAACGATATCCCCTTTGCTTTCCGCCCTAAAAACGATATCCAGCTTGACCCGGTGCCAGCTGTGCTGAGCCCTGGTTGCCAGCCCGTGCCGAGCCCTATTCCCTGACAAGAAGACATATTGGGTCATGCGAAGTCAATTATTTCCGATTACGTGGATCTGCACCAAATTCAGCGTTCACGAAAATAAGAACGCATAGAGCTTTCACTTCAAAATTGATTGAAGGGTCTAAACTGATGCACTGCCCGCAAATGAATCTATGACCGAATAACTCTTTTCCAAAGCTGTCTCCACACCGTAAGCGGACAACTTGCACCGGCGTGTATGCTTTTGAGGACTCACCGCTCTTGCTAGATACCTTTGAAAGGGGGAGGGAGAGACGATTTTCTGACCCGCTTGGTGAATTTTTGAAGTGCCGTTTGAGCGTGCCTTTTTTGATCACTCAATCAGTTCTGCGGAACATCTGATAGGAGAAAAGTATGTTGTCCAGTTTTGCTATGTTGATATTCTAGACCAAAATGCTTTTAGGTGTTCTGCGGACTTGTATCTTATGCAAGATCGTGTTGCGCACTGCCAGAACAAATCACGCAGCCCACATATTAGGTCTTTCGTTGTTGCCGTGTTTCTACCACTATAGCACGACAGGTGGAAGCAATTGCAATACATCATTTTTTAGGCATTCCCAGTTAGCTTTTCATCTTTTTTTGGACGAGTCCTGAGGCATGTATCAGTTGCGAAAGTCTTGTCATGCACAAATGCATGAAACACTGAAGTTTTTGAGAATTTTGAAATCGATTTTCATTAACATAAATACCGCTTTGAACTCAAACTTCGAAATTTTGGATGCTTAATTCATGATTGGTTCGCAATCCACTTAGGACAATTTCTTGCGATGGTCGATGTTCTATGAGATTTGGATCTACCAAACTTGGAATAATAAAATAAGAATTTAGTAAGCTGAAAAACATGAATTTAAAAACATGAAAATTCGACCGAATTTGAAGTGCTGAAAATGCATTGTATTGCACTTTGTTTACTCTATCCACACGTTATCAAGGCTCTCGTGAGTCTAGAAAAATATTGAAAAAGTACCAAGGTTGGACAGGGTAAAATAGAAACCAAGAGTCCAAAATCGGTGGCGTATCAGGAGGAACCAAAGGCCCCGCTGCCATATCCGCAGCAGGAATCAAAGGCACCGTCCACCCAAAATCTCGAATTCAATGTTTTTGTCGCCTTCAGGCCTTCTGACCAGAAGCTCTTTTGCGGCGAAGCTTGGAGGTTTGTCTAGTACGGGGGCCCACATTAGTATGCCATCACAATCTCGCCAACCTCCATTTTGGGTGGACGGTGCCTTTAAAGGCACCGTCCACCCAAAATTTCGACCTCCATGTTTTTGCCGTCCCGGGGCCTTCTCATACCCCTGATTCCGAATATTAAGTTGAAAATCCGCGAAAACCACGAAAGACCCCGTTTTCAGAACCCGCAGAGCGATTCCTTCGGTACGGTGATTGGTTGGGCGCGCACGGATGGGCGGGACGAACGTCACGCCCACTCCGAAAGGGGAGGAGCCAGCGTCGCGAACGCGGCCTGAAGCGATTTCCGAAGCAATTTTCTCGGTTCGGAAGCAACTTCAGGCAGCGCGAGTTGGACAATCATACAGTTGGGGGCCCCCGCATCTGCTAGATATCATAATCTAACCAACCCCAATTTGGGTGGACGGTGCCTTTAAGAGCGCGAGCAGTGTGGAGGAAATTTGGCAGGATCCAGAACAACTTAGCAAAGAAATTTGAAGACCGTAAGAAAACGAATTTCATATTTTTCGAATTTCAACTTCTTGGGAAAACGTGCGAGAAATACGAGTGGCATTTTTGATCCATTTTCATGGGTTTTGTTAATAAAATAACTGGAAATAACTGTCATTCAAATAAAAATTCACCATAAAGAATTTTCACAATTCTAGTTGGAAAATGGAGGAGGAGGTAAACTTAGAAACAGCAGCTCAAGATGTAACCTTGGGCTGATGAATCTACATGTTTTCAATATTGTATTCGAACCAAACTGAAGATTTACCAGAAATCGAATTTGGAACACATTGACGTAAGATTTCTATAAGTTGCAGATTTACCAAAATGGTTTTCAGATGGCTCATGATTCGAATTCAAACAAGATTTTGTAAACAACCTTCCCAATCTTCAAACGCTTTTCCACGACAGGTTTTCAGCGTCACGATTTGACAACATCGGTTTCTTAGGATTCAATAATTCTTGGACAAAATTTTGAAAACTGTAAGGTGTAAGGTACTTCGTCTTAATTAAGTGTTCTGCCGATGTTCATGAATTAAAGATTATTTTTAAATGAAAACGATTTTCCGTTTACATTTCTCCTACAAGTATGCCTGAAAACGCAAATTACAAAACTGCCCCATTTATTACTCTGGCATTTTCTTGAGCGAAATTACGAGAAATCTTTTCCTTAGAATATTTCTGGATTCATGCCAAGTTTTCTTGGATCCTGGCCAAATCTTCGCCGCAGTGATAGCGCCTCTAATTATCTCCTACGGACACTGGCGGCTAGGCCTTTGGTTCCTCCTGCGCGTCCTCCCCAGAATCTCCGGCGACTATCTCAGTAAGCACGCAAAGCAATCGATTCATATGCAACAACTCGGCGCAGCTGAAAAAAGATTAAGCTGGACCTTGTTACTTGGAGAAAGGCAAAAAAGATATCGTTTGTGTGCTCCAGATTGGAGCCTTTAGAAAAGTTGCAAAGATATGTGTTGGCATTCCTGTGTATAGTGAAGAAACTAGTACACAGCATCTCAATTCTTTTTTCTAATTTGCTTCAGAAAAGCACATACTAGTTCTTACAAGCCAGTACTTACAATACCGTCGGCATGCTGGCGGTATTTCAACAGAGCGCGGACTTTGAAACGGTGCTTCAAACAAAAGCATTCCTTGCAACCAAAACGCAATGATATGACATCAAATTTGGTGTACACATGCGCTTCAAGGAACTCGAACTAGAGTTGAAACTTTATTGAAACTTATATGAATAAAAACCGTCCCAACTTTCTTCCGAATCAAGTTGTGTCTTCGCTTCAAAAATTTCCATACAGAAATATTGCTGAGTAATCATAGAAAGCCACGCTCAAATTATAGTTGCGCGTTTCGTCATAGTTACTGATGATTGAGGAGAATGCTAGCAAGCAGAGACATGGTACATTCCGTTTGAGCCCTTAGGTTTTTGAAATTTGGAAATGACATTAAGGCAAATCCACATCGGCGTTACTTCCAGCGATTATGACTACAACCGAATCGTTATCTCTCGAATCATTATCTTTATGACGCAGCCTTAGCGAGTAAATTAGGAGTTACCAGTGGGTGGCTTACCCAGGACTTCTGTTCGTGGGAACGGGGCGACAAAAAATTTTTCTGATGAGAATGCGTGGCGCAGTCGCGCACTCCGAAAAATTTTCAGATATGCTTCCTGAAATTTTTGCAGGCCCATAACCGCGAAATTTCACAGCGGGCGTGGCAGTAGCCACACCACCAAAAAAATTTTTTTAGAGGCTAAATTGAATTTTCGAAATTTTTCAAAAATCTCATTGATTATTCACAGGTATGAACAAATCGCTTGCGCATTTTTGAATTATATAAGTAACTTTCAGATGATCTCTCGACCCATGCTCGGGAAGGGGGGTCCTCAGTACGCTTGGTGGTTATACATGATTTTGCCCTTCTTAAGTCAGACAAAAGCGTGTTAGCGAGTCCTTAAGATGGCGATAGCGAAATTTCCGACACAGCTTAGCCATTTTCAGCAAGGCAAAAGGCATTGATTAATCACAAAAAAGCGCAATCTCAAAGGCTATCCTGTAAGAACAACGCGTGGAGGGGCTTTCGCGCATACCGTTCGTGTGCGCTATCCCATTGTTTCAAAATCGACCCGCATGCGTGAAAGTCCCTGTGACAAAGCAAGCGATGCCCTCTTCCCCTCCATCCCTTCTAGAAGGAGGCGATAGTGCTGAAATGTGCCCCACCGGTAAATGCATGCCAACCTTTTACAACTTAAAGGCAGTGGCTCGGCAAATCTCAATGTAGTCAAATTTGCGCTTACCTGGGGTTATTTAATACGCCGATCGCGAAAATCACTTTTGAAAGCTTGAAAACGGCGAAAATGAGCGTTTTTTATCGCCTTTTCATTTGGAATTGGACGAGTGGAGCAAGGCTGATGATGCTAAATCGTTGCAGGACCCTAGTGGATATAGCATTGCGGCGGACAGCCTCCAATGGTAAGAAGGAAATTGCCAACTCTTCCGGATGCGTGTAAGATTGTCCTGCGCGTGTAAGTTTGAGAGCAATCATCTCGGCGGGGAAAGCATGCTGTGCAGCCGGGATTGCACTGTTTTCATACATGGGCGATAAGGAACGTACCGCGTTGAAATCCTGAGTTGTTGGATTTTGCCTATCCACTGCCTTTAAGGGTCAGGACAGTCAGGCGGGTAATCAATAAGCCCTCCCCTCCCAAGTTGTTGACCAGTTCACCGAGCGCAGTGGAGAAGAGGCTTGGTGATCCAAAGAGAGAGGCCCTTAGTAAGCCCCCATCAATGCAATTCGACCGGTGCGGTCCTACGTTGAACGTAGGACGTCTCAGTCCAGCATCCAGTGAGCTATTGATCTGGATGCGGATCGCTTTCTAATCATGATAATCATGTGTGTTCTTGAAAAAGGAACCACTTGAGCCGGTTTGGTCGAACAGGTAAGCTATTTTGAACGCGCGCGGCCATGGTTTAACACCGGCTAGCGCCACATTTTTGCTGTATCGCCTGGCGTCTTTGATAGCGACCACTATCGCAAAATCGATATGATAGCTATCAAGGATTTCGCCCAGCATATGCATGGATGAAACAAAAACACATTTTTTTGACGAAAATGAAAAAATAGAATGATTACAACATGAGCTCAATGAATTAAATCAATAAATTCTTCCTTGGTATTGTGCAGTTGTGCCGATTTTATCCGCACTGTTAGGCAAACTGATGTGTATCGCAAGTTACTCAGGACCAACTTGTGAGAATGTTCCTCCGTCTCGTCTTTTCGGGTGTATTCCATTACTTGTGACTGTCAACTAGGCAGTCGTCGCGCGCGACAGGCTGGCAATAATCAGGTGCGCGGGAACTCGGATAGCCGACTCTCAAAGCCATACTGTCCCTTTTTTGTATCAGTTTTTACAAAACTACATCATTTTTTTGTTTGCTGAAGGCTCTATACAAAATTTGTAGCAAAAAGGAAGATAGTGAAGGAAAATATAGAAATTACTTTGTTTCTAGTCAGGAAATGTAAACTTTTTGTTCATTATGATAACTTGACCCCTAAACATTTCCTCTGGGACATTTTCTGTGGTCCTGCTGCCTCTCGCCCGGGTTCAGTTGGCTGCAGCAGGTGGACGGATGGCCAACTGTCAGTTCACTTGGCATGCTTATAGCATGGGAAAGTAGGCGGTCATCATTTCACCTGACGTAAGTTCAGTTCACATGAACTGATCGAGCTTTACTACTAGCCAGAATTGCGCGATCCCACGACTCAACGCCGCTGTATCCTTCAAATGCCGTAGTATTGCCAAATTGTTCTATGGACACAGTCGCTTAAGGTTTGATGGCTTTTGCCGTTGAGCAGAAAAGAAAGATACCTCCCCAAACTCAAACGAAAAGAATAAGATTCTATGAGAAAGTTGACGTGAGCTCAACAAAGCTACAGAGGTAAATATTTCTTAAGAGGTACGCAGCATTATTGAATTTAGTGCGTAGAGGAAATCATCAATTACTGGCAATTGTACAAAAGCTTTCGTCTCATATTTTACCTCTCCTATTATGATTAACAGCAATAGTAAAAGGATGGGAAGCAGAAATGTAGCTGCAATCAAGGAAATCCCTGTTTATATAGAGCTCCGTCTTCAACAGAACAAGGAGATGCAAATTTTTTCGGTTCTACATAGCTTCCCATCTGAAGCAACCTTCTTTGTTTTTTGGACTTTAATGAATGGTTGGTCGATGGTGAACGTTTATCTGTCAATAATTGCTTCTTAAGAATTTAATGAATGATTGGTTGGTTGATAGTGAGCATTCGTCTATTATCACAGTGTTCGCTAGTGATGGATGAATTGTGAGAACGCGCGCGTTGTAATGTCTCCGCAGAGAAACGCCACAAAAGCGTACCGTTCGTTATGTGCCCTTGCTTACCTGCACTTATTGACGTCACAGGGATTGCCTTATGTACCAAAAGTGCAAAGATTTTTAGGATCTCCGACGTGACTCAAAAAGAAACTAAAGGGCATTTGGCGTTTCCCACGTCAAACATGCACTTTTAGACGTCTTTCTGCGTGATAAATGCGTGAAACCGGCAAGAGTTGGAGGAATTAGGAAGAATATGTGTCCAAAATGTGGCAAAGATTCTAGCGCAGGATAGTGGCTTTTGTCGCCACGTACTCTCCGTAATGCCTTGACAAGTACTACCAATAGGGGAAATAATATGATAAAGAGGACGACCGATCCATTGTTGTACACCTGGGACATGTGGTGTGGATTTCATGCGGCTAAAGTAAATTTTTTATGATCTGCGAGTACCGACGGGTAGTGTACTTGGTATCATGACCATTCCTGCGGAGGTGCATCCCAGTACATGCGGTTGCAACGCTTTGATCAAATTGCTTTCAGTATCTGTTGGCAGATTTCATCAAGAGGTTATGATTTTTGTGCGTATACTACACAAGGAGGGTGATTAAGATAACTGACTAATTTTATGAATCGAAAAATGATTGTGTCAGTCTATTCAACCTTGATGCTGTGCCAATTCGGCATAGCTTATCGACTCATTCAGAGTTTTGTGTAATCGGCAATCTACCTCAGTTACTCATAAAGCTCTAATCTCTCTCCAGCACAAAAGGTGTTCGGAAGGTCGCCATCAAATCTATAGTGGCATAGCCGCATTGGCCTTGAGGATCATCAGGGGATCATACAGAAAACTGGAAAATATGGATTGTGCAACTTCTCGATCCTGTTAAAGATGTTTCTAGCAAAGAGTAATAGAAACACTTGTGAACAGAAAGACCACCTGAAATCCGTAACGCTGGGCTGATGTGATGCTTTCTTTTGAGCTGCGTTCCCCTCCCCTCCCGTTCCCCTTTCGATAAACCCCAAATTTCGATTTGCGGTTCATCGCGAGTTTCATGATTTCGATTAGCATTGTTCTTATCAAAAAAAATGTTTAGCAGTGGTGTGAATCAAATCACTACAACTTCTTCGTTGTCAACAACAATGTTTTCATAAAAAAGGCTAAAGAAAAAGAATTTTCTTTTTCTGCCATTTGTTTCTATCTCCGTAAATTCCAAGACTGCATCAGAACATTTTCAGAAATGCTTGAAGAAGAGGACATTCAAGGACTAGAAGATTTTCTGGCGGGCATCGAGGACGAGAGAACTAGAGAAGCGGTTAGTCATAAAGCATCACATGATACCAAGAAAACATCGACCAAGCGTGTTTCTGCTTGCTAAATTTATGTCCCTGATGGCTACTATCTACGATAATTTTTGATAAGACAACGTTGGTAGGCGGGTGACTTTGAGTTAAAGCTTGTAACTACTTGTAAGTCAAGACAAATTGCTATAAGAGAAATAATCGAGTAAACCCCGTTTGCTGGGTGATTTCGGATAAAATAAGAGAACCGGAATCTTTATTTCAACATAATTTTCATGAAAATTACATTTGTTTGAGGATATATAGAAAAGATAACATTGAGCACAGTTTTTCAAAAGAAGTACAGGCCCGTAGTAAAGCTCGGTCACGGGAGATGATCTCCTCTGAGGCCCTCATATAAGGCTTTGTCAGGTGAGATGAGGACTGCCCACTTTTCCGTGGTGTAATTATACAAGGTCACCCTGCAGGTGAGCTTTAGATGAAGCCCGGCAGGGAGACCAGCTCCCGACCGAGTCATCGGAGATGAGCCGGGCGACGACATAAGGTAAATACTGTGCTAAAGAGGAGAGCACAGAGAAAACCTCCGTAAGTTGCTCCCGAGTAACTTATGAAACATCGCTGCTGACGTTCTTTTGCGGTGCAAAATTCCCAAAACTGCACAGTTTCGGGCGCCCAAGTGAGTGAGGATCGATGAACAGCAGATTGCGCGACGAAATCGAAAAAAGAAAGGTTTTTTTCCATTTTTCTTACAGATGATACACGTTTTTTACGGAAAACTTGCTTCAGATGCAAAGAAAATTTACCTTCTCATTCGTTTTTAGCTAAGTGTAATTTTTCTTCGTATGAGTGCCAAATTATTGTATATTTGTTTTATCTCGTTGTTTGCTAGGTGAAATCTCTGATAGCTGCTGTCATCGATTTTTCGATAACGGCTGCTATCAAAGGTCGCCAGGCCAACTAGCAAAAGTGGTGCCGCTAGCCGCACTCGAACCACGGCAGTGCCGCTTGAAACGCATTAGTCTTATCCATTTGACTAATAGTGCACAAACGCCAGAAACGTTCCACCATTGAAAACGCGAACGTCCAGTAAGTGACCTGCTCCAAATCAATCGCTCCCCTGGCAATGTGCTGAGGCGCGATGAGATCAACTCCGGTGCGCCTCAAGAGAGATGCCCTGATGGGGTTACTACGGGCCATATTCTGCAAAAAAAAGTGGATAAAAATAATTTCCTTCTCTGGCTGTTAGCAGCTGTTCATCGAATCTCTCCATCCGCAGTAGCCCAGAAAGTATGTAATTTTGCGCATTATCGCCCGTAGTATCACGTCACTTTACGTGTCCCGTAAGTTACAGTTCTAACGCGGCAGGATCGCGCAGTGCAATTACACTATCACGTTTCCCAGCTATACTTTGCCTACAAATAATAGTCATAGCTAATTATCCTTAACAGAATGAGAAACGACCGTAAAAAACAGTAAAAACCTTGAGTTCATGATTCCCTAGTAAAACACTAGCTCGCGCGCGTGCTGTTGCGGTTGCAGTACACAACCGACTGCCGTTAGACGATGGCCTGTACTCACGAGCGATTTCCTTTTTGTCTAATTCTCCGCTTTTATAAACTATCTGCGCGAGTTAACCGACCTTCCGAGCCATCCTTATATTAAGGCAACCTGGCAAAGTCGCCGCGGCAGTATCCTAAGTGGCCCTTCTAAAGCATAGGACGATGGTGGTCATAATTTCAACTGACAAATGCGAAACAAAAGTTTCAGTTCAATTCATCTGATCTGACGGGGGGTTTTCTATCTAAAACCAAGCCAACATCGCGCACTTTAAGTTCGTTCGTTATCCTATAATATACTAAGGATACTGTTTTTCAAAGCGCTTGAAGAGGAAATCGCTGGCACGAATACAATTCACTCATTCACTAATAAAGTATTCGACTTGTGGTTATCGCCACCATAATCTTGGTGTTTTTACCTAAGAGGAGTGGATTAGCAGAATGGACCCTTCTTGAATTTTGGTGGATTTAATTAGTAGATCCCCCAGGTACACTGTAGCCCGAACCCCATCTGCCAATTCATGCGCTATGTCCTGAAAAATGATCAGCCCCGCCCCTTTCCATTAAGTGGGTAAAAACATCCGCGAGAAGAAATTTAGAGCACCTCCCTCTTATGCTTTCAATCAGACCGCAGATTTTGTTTGCTTGAAATTGAAGTTTGAAAACACGTCAATAATAGGTGTTTCATAGTGAATTGCAAGTATTTAAAGTTTTACAAAGGCATCACCAGACTACACTTATTGTGTTGACTCCATCTGAGACAAAAGTCAGATATATTGGTATTCAGTCACTGCACTGGTATTTAGGTGATCGAACTTCTGGAAGCCAAACAAATCGCTGACGAAAAACAAGTGGCCATTCGAATGCGAAGAATTATTAGGCAACTGCCTGAAGATGTGGTGGCTGAACTCTTCGAACTCTACAAGAAAACTCTTCCAAGACGATCATAAACGAAAGCCATTTGTATATATGTACATTACTTTTCCAAACACCTTTTTGGATTGATATGCATGAATTTTTCTTCGCTACTCTATCTTTAACAATGTTTATGCCTTTGTCAAGTTTTGGAAGAAAGAATGCATCAATGTCATCTACTGTAATGAAGAAAATACTTGACATGACAAAAATCCTACCATAAATTGCCGTGAGATGCAGAAATCACATGTAGCTGGCAACAACTTAGGTTGTCAACCAAATCCATATTTCATTTTTTTAGATAGAGCATCGAAACTATTGCTATGCTGTCCAAGTTTCTCTTTTCTGCTCAAATTTGTGCAAGACTTGTACTCTTGAAGATAACTGCAGTATTCTTAGTGTAAACATAAATAGCTAAAAGCATAATAGAATCAGTAGCTCTTTTTTGAAAATTAAACTCAAATGCTTAGCTCCTTTCTATAAAAATTTTTGCTTGATAATGTTCTAAGAAACGACTCCAGAAAATGACATGCCAAAGGCTACCCTAAAGTGAGAACACTAGAAAAAATCATCGAATATCGAAGTGCAAAGAAAGGTTTTGTTGCGAAAGAATCTCTGTCAAAGGAGACGACAATGAAATGGATGTAGAACTCATAGATCTTGTTAAGGAATATTTCTACAAGGCAGCAAAGCCGATTTGGTGTACAAAGTCATATTCCTTGAAGAAGTCCTATTTCGAGCTTCGGTCTTGCACATTTTCATGAACCGTAAAATGCCTCTTGATTCCTCAGATTGTTATACATATAGAGTGATATAAAACACTCAACACTGACGCAAATGGTCTTTTCTTCGAATGCCATCTGATTGTATGAAAAGTTAAGGCATTGTGACACTTTCATCCCAACAATAAAACAATCACCCATTTAACGGATGACTCATTGCAATTAGTTTCGCAACCTGATATGAGAATCTGTGCGCATTGAGGTTATTATCAACATAAAAGCTCAAAATTTACTCTAGAAAGATCGATGTGCATTAAATATATCGCTAGCATAGTTTATACAATGAAAGAAGTAGATGTGAAAAGACGGACAACAGAAACGAAAACTTTGCTATGTTGTAATGCTGACGTAATCGCAGCAGTAGATGCTAAATGACTACTTTTAACAATGAAACCTATCTTTTGCGAAAAAGCCTTGAGTTTAGGGAAAATTTTTACGGACAGAGATCAGCAACGGTTTGGCGATCAGCCTAAACTGCGAGGATCTGTGAACGAGAACAAAATGGTTTTTCTCGTTTGCACTTTAGGCCTGCCACGACTCTCCACATCGTGTGTGTTCCCTTGCTAGAATTGGAAGTGGAAAGATTTGCACTTGCGGGTCATTCCTGCGCGCGTAGCGTTTTTTCTTACAGAAGAACGCTCGTGCATGACCTTCATCATTCACATCCGTTCTAGCTCTTTTCAAACTATTGTTTTTAGTCTTCTTCAGAGTGTCTGCGCTCTCTGCCTCGACAGATATCAAAATGGAATCCGCTAGCTCGGTAGAAACTCCTCCAGCCTTCAACAACCACAATGCGTCGAAAACGTGTCGCAGTGGCTGCAAAGAACAACCACATTACCGACTGTCTACAGACCTCCATGATTAGTATCGTTCGATCCCAGCTTTTTGCCCTGTTTACAACAATCGTGATTGTATAAAATACCATGATTCGGTCATCGTTTCGTCTTCGACAAACCTTCCTTCAAGCTATGCAGTGACTAACCTGAAATAAATGGCTGTAATTTGGGACTAAGGACTACAGACCATGTATCCAGCTTCCTTCCAATAGCATATATCCCCGCCGACCTGCGATTTTTCACATTCATTGGACATAGAACTCTCCACTTAACTAGCAAAATCTCAGTGTGTTATAAGGAGAATGAGTGAGTGTTGAGTGTGAGACAATGAGCCGATTTGCGCTGTGCTGCACTGACAAAGATTTCGCAACCTTCGCTACGGTTTATGCAGGATCAAAGTGGTCCCACAGCGATCCGCTGCACGATGAAGTCTTTACCGTAATGACCACCTCCATAGTTCGATATTCGATCTTTATTTTTTCGACTGAGATCAAGAGCGTTTTTGAGGTAAAAAGCAATTTTTCCAAAAAAAAAGGATAAATTACTCCAGGCGGTCAGAATTTTTCCGCTGCTGCCAGTCTCTCAGGCAAGCAAATCACATCATAAACATTGGAAGACTTATTCTGCATAATCTTTCGTCATAAACAGCCTGCCAAACAGTAAATGAGACTTTTCAAGGACTACATCTTTGTAGCTCTAGCTCTATGCGCTCGAAACACTAGTTGGATCGATGTTCCCTAATTCGCATTTGAGACAGACATTTCTACCTTTTGTCTGTCATCTTTCCCACTCTGTGAAAATGTGATGGCTGTGCACGCGGAAAGAAGATGAAAAAAATTGGTGGTTTTCAACGCATTCCTTCTCATTGTTGCTGACTATCACCACTTTAGGTGGCAGACTCTCTTCACTGCTTTTTGAGTTTATTCAGAGCTTTCTAAAAACTTTCCTATTTTGTATGCTTTAGGGCTTAAACTAGAGCAGCTCCTGAATCAGTCTCATGTGATTCCAAAATCTTGCATGCAGATGTCACGAGTAAGAGATCATGTCTCATGTTCAGGTCGATAAAAAAACCCAGACGTAGCCTTTATTCCCGGAACAAGGCCGTAATCACATTAGCGACTATTTTTTCTTTTGAAAAATTTCCAGTCACGCCATAGATACTGAACATGCTAGTTCAATAAATCATCAGCCAGCGATTGTTGATTGCACACTTCGTCCATCCTTCCTTTTGAGGGTTTGCTCTCCTTTTTCCTGTATTTCGAGAGTGGAACGGCTTTACTGTAGACTACAAAAGTAGAGTTTATATGGCTTTACAATAAGTTGTGCGATCACTTGCCGTTAGCCTCCACCTTTCCTTTAGGAATTCTTCATCGGTCCAGTGTCTCATCAATCATGAGAGGGATTTCTATACATTTGTGGTGTCCGTGGCAGAAAAGTCTGTGTTAGTCTGTGGGAATCGCGTGAGAGTGCACGTCATGCACTAAATAGATTACGGTACCACAAGTATGTATCTCTCACGCTCATCATTCAATTCACATTCAAAGATGATTTAGACACTGACGGTATAAACGCATGCCAATTCGTATTTTTCCTCCTTTGAAATCTCGTAGTATTTAATTTTTGTTCATTTAAAACAACGAACGCTTACTTTATCTTGCTAAGTTGAGATTCTCTTTCGCGCATTAGCCTCACGGATGCTACCACCAGGATTTCTGAATTTCGTAATTGCGGCCTCATCCCCTCCCAATAAATCTGAATTCAAGGTCAAGGTCCATACCATGTCGGGGAAAGCGCGAAAGGAAATTTGTACTGTCTTCAAGAAATTGCAATTTCAAAGAAGTGGTCAAAGCGCATATAAAAATGCGACCCATATTGCCGATGGTAAAAGAGCTGATTATTGCTTTGACAACTTATTGCATTTCATACAATAAAGTCTATGAATCGCTTGATTGCTCCTGATTCTATTTTGCCAATTTCCCCTGTGGTATGAAGCTATTTCAAATTATCCAATGCTCTGGGCATTACAGAATGTCAATGCCTGAAAAAGATACCGAACTCAAAGATATTGCATGGCTCTGCGGTCTGTTCACTCTCTATATTGCATTCTTATTAAGGTAATACCCTACTCATTATTTTTCTCTGAATCAATTTGCATAGCGTGTTTCAGGTTCTTCTCATTTAGCTACGTGCTCGGATTTTTTCTCACAGCTGCCTTCGCTTTTCATCAATTCTACTGGCGCCGCCGTGGTCTTCCACCTGGGCCTGTTCCACTACCGCTTATCGGGAATGCGTTGTCTGTGAGAGATTACTTTGACTTCTCTAAAACTCCACAAACAGTTCATAAAGTGTACGCCTATTTTTCTGACTTCATACATCACTCATCATCATTTGTCTAAGTAAATTTGTGATGATGATGTTTCTAGAAAACTTCCAGACATAAACATCCTGGTTGAAATTTTGGCGTGTTGTTTTTTTCTGGAGAACGTCGCCTTTGTGCCAAACAACTTGACGTATTATGCAGTCTATGGAAAGGGACAGCGCGGTTGCGTCAAGTAATCACAGAGGCACGTGGGGCAGCTGTAGATCAGTTGATTGGAAAGGAAAGAAAGTAGACTTGAAGTCAGAGATTATTAGGTTGGCTAATTATAATTCTAGTCGGCTCCTTTGGAAGCTACAGACAAAACTTCTTTCAGTGTTTTGTTATCTTTGAGAAGAGCGCTCTAATAAAAATTAGAGTATAAATTTTGTTCAAGAAAAATTTATTTCAAATGAAAGAAAGGCCCAAAGAATAGAGATAACCAAATTTTCTTATTGTACGCAGATCTGAGAAAAATTTCTTTTTTTTTGACAAAGACATCCAAAATGGCAAATTTTGAGTTTTCAATGTTAATCGTTAGGTGGAGAAAACTTGTGTGTATCCGAACATCAAAATGCTCATCTCTACGTCCATCACAGCCCTCTAGCCAACCTAATATTCAGGGATTGATCAGCCTCAATTAGGCCTTCAAACCTTGCGTGAGAAATATTCGAAAGTGGAACTCTCAATTATCTTGTATAATTTTAATTCGACAACAATGCAGCCGGCCATTTATACCTTCTCTGCAATAAAGTCAGTAAATTGATTTTTGCACATTCAGATGGATTTGAGCAATCCGGCGAAGACATTCGGCTTATGGCATGCCTTGTACGGTCCCATCTATACGGTATGGCTGCCACATCCAATGGTCGTTATGGCTAGTCATGAAGCGCTCAAAGAGGCCCTGATACGTCAAGGTAACTACCGTAACCCCTTTGCACCCCTTAGGTTACGGTAATTTTCGAGTGCGCTATCCAAGCCAGAGTTTCAGGCCTAGCATTTGCTGGACGCCCATCCGGCTACATCTGGTCCATGTTTACGAAGAACACAGTACATGGTGATGGAATTATTCTTTGTGAGGGTGAACGCTGGGAACAGCTACGCGAATTTGCGCATAAAATCTTTAGGTAAACCCTTTAGTAATTATTATATAAAACGGTGGAACCTTTATTGCAGAAACTTTGGCCTTGGTCGAACACTTATGGAAGAAAAAATCGTGCATCACATCAATTATATGATTGGGCACATTGATGCAAAACTTCATGGCAATAAAGTAAAATCTATCTGCTTGAATACGGTTGACTAGTATCTTGAAACCGATCTCACAGAGCATCAAAATTGACATGGAGGAGCCAATTTCGCTTTGTGTAGCGAACATCATCCAAGATTTTGTGCTTGGCAAATCGCACACGTTTGGCGATCCTCAATTTCGCAAGTTCAAGAGACTTATTGATGCTGTGCTGGCTGACGTGAGCTTCTATAAAAGAGATATATTTTCAAAAAATCCCGTATTCTCAGCTGACTTCAAAATCTGTGCAGCTGGTGAATGCTTATCCTATCCTGGCAGTTTTACCATTTCCAGCAGTGAGAAGATTCAGGGAGAATGGCTTTGCTTTGCAAAGGTATTGAGCAACTGATCTTTTTACACTGATAACAAGTTCACATTTCTAAACCATAAAAAGAAGTAAGTGTTCCAGATATTTCTTAAACATCATTCGAGAACATCGCGAGCGCTTGGAAATGGATGGAGAGCCTCGCGATTTTATGGAAGCGTATCTGAGGGAAATGGTAGTGCAGAAGGACAATCCACATTTTAAGTAAGTTAGCTTTTCTAGAATTCGAAATCTTTGGAAAAAAAGGCGATGGTAACGAGGTCAAGGACTTTAATTCACCGTTCAACAGTAAGTAGCTTCATAGAACAAAAATAGTATACAACTTATTTATTTTCAAAAAAATGTGAAAAATATTTAATCACTTCAATGAGATCCTCCAAACGGGAGCAGTAGGCAAATAGGATAAAAAATAACCTCACTTGCTTCCGCTGCTCTTACAGATTGCAGACATATTTTTGCGCAGTTGCTATCCCTGGAAAAAGCACTTTAAGAAATATTACATGTAAATTTTGTTCATGTAGGATTTGAATTCCTCTGAAGAAAGGCGCAAAGAAGCGAGATACTTCATCTTTCTCATTGCGCTCAAATGTGAAATTCCATTTTTTATCTGAGGACTTTTAAAATGGCAGATCACACTTCTTATTGGCTTTTTTTAAAGAGAAGATCTGTATGTATCTAAGTACCAAATCATTCCTCTCTATTTCCATCAAAGCGTGAACGAAGCGCAGAATTCCAAACAACTGACCTTTTACAAATTCAATCTATTGGGGCATGATTTTCCTTCACCGATACTAAAAAAATCTGTATAGTTGATGTGTGATAGTAAAAGGTTTGAACTGCTTCCTCTCAGAAAATCATGGAAAAAAGGACCAGAAAAGTTTTGATGAAGATTTGGTTGCCAGACAAAAATATTTTTAACCACCTAAAAATTACTGTCACTCGTATCTGTTCCAGTACCATCTTGTTATTATAGTAGATCGTACAGGAACTGTGCTCTGACAAAACTTTCAAGACCCTAGATTATAATTCATAATTCACTAAAAAATCCTTGGCACTAATCTAAGCCATCATTTGCTAGCGTTTTCACCCTTGCACTGGCTTCGGGTGATCTCTGGACTGGTGGCATGGAAACCACAGTGACGACACTGCGTTGGGGAATCGCCTATCTACTTTATCATCCATCTGTGCAGAAGAAATGCTACGAGGAGATACTTAAGGTAGTGTTTCCTGTTCTTCAAAACTGGAGACTCTGATGAATACTTTTAGATATTCGGCGATGAACAGCCATGTTATTCCCGTCGTAAACAACTTCCTTATGTGGAAGCTACAATAGCTGAACTACAACGTGTAACAAACGTTTTGCCGTGGGCTATTCCTCATCGGTAAGTTTCTAACTTTCCGAAGTCTCCTAAAGAATATCAGCTATAGCTTTACCACTATAGGACCATGGAAGATGTGGAAATCATGGGGTTCCATCTGCCCAAAGGTACCGTAATCTTACCACAGTATGGAACTGTGCACTGCGATACGCATTACTACCCGGAACCTGAGAAATTCAGGCCAGAAAGGTGAACAAGCTCGTTTTCTCATCTATACCTTGAAAATGGCAACTGAAGAAGGAGCGAACGGGGCGGGGGTCTGGGCTGTTTGATTTCATCATTTTGAAGTAGATTCAAAACATAAATCTAGGAATTCAAAAACCCCTGAAAATGAAATAAGGGTAGTTTTGTAAATATTACGCTTATTTTTGCAACAAAACCTGTGGAACTTAGCGTTTGGTAATTTCTTACAGCTAGTAAGTTAAACCACTTTGTCTGGAATTTTTCAGAAATTTGCGCAGACAATGGACCTTTTAGGTGGCCATAGCCACAAAAATGGCGGCTCTTGACCGCCTCCCGAGTCTGGGGGGGGGGCCTTTGTTGAGTTGGCCGTTTAAGTCTTTTGAAATGCTGATTTACATATCCAGTAAGAAATAAAGTGAAATTTTGGACGTATTGAATTTGAACGAAAGTATTTCGCTATTTTTTTTTATAAATTCGCTCACCTCCCTCCCTTTCTCTACAATATTCGTAAACATTACTAAATCTCTTTCCCTCAAACCCTTTTATTTTTTTGAAAATTTCGTTATTTTCCTCTTTACATGCATACACACGATTTGACAAAATTTTCTGAACAAAACCCAAATTTCAGATTCCTTGATGAGCATGGATACTATAAAAAGCGTCCAGAGCTGAATCCCTTTGGTATGGGCAAAAGAACGTGCCTTGGCGAAAATCTTGCAAGATACGAGTTGTTCCTCCTCTTCACGACGTTACTACAGAGATACGAGTTCCGACCAATAGGTAAGCGCAATGTGTAGCTCATACCTTTACCTTTTCCAATAAAAACTGTTTTAAGAGGGTGAGCCACTACCGTCACTAAAACGAAGCGAAGGAATGACCAACGTGCCACAAAATTATCGATGTGCCATAATCAAAAGGGGTCCAGCTGAGGTTATCTGATACAATTTGAGAAGCATGTCTTGATTAACATTTTCATACAGCCGTCTCTGTTTTCATATCATCTTTAGAGGGCATAGCGCCCGATCTCGCTGGTATTTTTTTGATCCCCGTGCATAGTAGCCATATAGTTGTGATTGATCTCTACGCGCATTTACTGCATAAGCAATTTTTATAATATTGAAATTGTCAATGAAGATATGTCATATTCATGAGTTTTTTGTGCTGTTGCTTTTTTGTATCGGAGCGTTGGTTTCCTCTAGCGAATTTTGTACATTTAATAGTATTAGCAGCATTGCTCATTTAGGAGTGTATACAATATGCAAAACGCTAGAAGAAGTTCAGATCTAACGAGAGACTATGCTACCGTAATATAACCCCTTTTCCTATCACCAGAACTTTGTGAAATTTGGATGCAATTGCCCAGAATTCGTGCAAAAAGATGCGATGGTCACCTGAGTTAGGTGACATCATCGTCGCATCGCCACATCTCGCTTTGGAACGGAATCAAACTCATGTCGGCGAGGCTATCCTCAGACGTAAACGTGCATGTAAGAGTACGGTAAGCTTATGATAGCTAGCCGATTTTTAGGAACCAGTTATACTATTCCAGAAGGTGATTCCTGCGAATCTTGTAATTCCTGCAGTTCTTATGTTTCCTCGAATTCCAATGTGCCGCACTACGGAGCGCTTTGCGAATGGTAGTATACATTATTTTTCGCAATATACGTTACGGGACCCGCAGGAATCACAGGAATAGTATAGGTGGTCCCTTACAGATATTTCCAGATTTTCGCTCATGTCTGACTTGAATTCGATAAAAAAAACTCTGTTGAGATCCTTTTCCAAAACACTAATGCAGTTTCTTGTTTGACCAATCTCAACTCTAGACGAACGAATTCGTCAAAGATCCTGGGCGAGTGGAAGAGGGAGCCTTAAGGTAAAGGGTCAACTTCGCAACCTCTTGAGCGGCTAGTCCACGCAAGACTAACATTCCGGTGCTGACTGATAAGTTTGGAGGAAGAACCTTTATCAGACAGACCAGAAGTCGCAAAAAATGATTACGCCGAAGGCGCAACAATAAAAAACACAAGCCAAGTTGTAGTCGCGCCCTTTCAAACATCCGAGGTTTCCAAAGTCTCCAAAACGCTGATAGATGCCAGATTCAGCAAAAATGGAGAAGTGCCTTTGGTATTCTGTCGAAAGCCGATCGAAATATACTATTTATTGGAGTCTGCATCTATAAAATAAAGATGCAAGGAGCCTAATTCTAATCTACGTGAAACTACTGCGTCTACTTGAAATAGCAGCATATCTGAAGCTTTTCAAGGTGGTGAGATCGGGCGGGGGACCACTGTGGACCATTCCAAAACTTCGCTCTTCCTCAGAACCAATTTTTAGAGCCTGGAGGACATGAACGGTGGTGGCAAGAGCGCATCTATATGTCATAGCGTTCCTCTTGTAAAATGGACTGCAAATAGAATTACATCATATTCAAGTTGATAATGCTGAAGTTTTGGGTTATACAACCTTTTCCTGAGTCAGCGACTGCAATGCCAGCAACAAAGCTCCACCTTTGCACTGAGCTTGAGTCACGCGAGAATTTCAACCTGGGGCTGATAAGAAATTTGCATTCAAAAGGCTATGAACGTTAACGTTATCTTTGGGCAAGTCGTCGCAGCGTTGTTACCTCTTTCCAGCAGTGCCATCGTTCTGCACACCGATCTACTCAACGATGAAGATGGATAATATCCATATTGGCCTAGCCGTGGGCAACATTGTATTCATTATACTTTCAGTGCTATTTATCATACTGTTCGCTACCAAACATGGTTAGTGAAGAGTGTAAATTTTTTTTCTAAAATCGTAATGCCAGACTTTATTGCTTTATATATTCAGATTCTTCATCTGCTTTCTTGCTTTCATCACAGATCCCATCGAACATGAGCCTTGGCCAGTTTGGAAATGAGGCATCTTTTCATTTTCCATGCAGAAAAAGAGATTCATATTTGCAAATTTCAGCTGAAGAGTAAGCTCGAACAGAAATACGTAGTTGGTACACTTGCTGCGTCAGGGTTAGGGTAAGTATGTGGTCACCAATAACCCACCGTTTCCCCGTACTTTATGAAAACTTTCCCTCTCCGCAAATAAAGGGGGTGAGGGTAAGTCAACACGAAAGATGTCATAATCAAATTCGAAATAATTCGTAAATGCGACAACAGACTGGTGGTTAAAGTTGGAGATTGGCAAATAGTGAGGGCCTCCTATTTCACATCGATTCCAGACTGTTCGCAAATTTGAATATAGGGAACAGGGTACCATACTCATAACAGTAATATTTCAATTTTAGGCCTTTTGCCACCTTCGTCTTTTCTTTACGTGGTGTTCAAGACTTGAAAGATGTTCAAACTCTTATTGCAAGCGATCCTAAACTTGCAGCAAGTCAAATAACAGGTGAGTAAACTAATTTATTTAACAGCTTTATAAGCTAAATGAGTTAGCAAATCGTGCTCTGTACGTCTTTTCATGCAAATTTGCTAAGCAGACACATATGCATGGTAGATTGGGAGGGAAATAACGTTGAACGTGGTAATGGGAGAAAATTTTATGTCAATCTTAAAGAATCGGATTTATACTGTCGCCTTGAGCAAGATCTGCTGAAACATCTAAAAGCATTATCCCATCAAGAGAAGGGATTCAAACATCAAAGCCTATCGTAATTTCCTCGATTTTATTTAGCAATTTTTTTGCTTCAATTGCGAGTAATTTCTGAAAAAAAAAAGAGATGCCTGATATTGGTCTGCGCATTTGAATGGTTTCATACTGCGCTGCTAATCTCAACAATTTTATATTTTCTTTGATTTTCTTGAAGGCACTGACCTGCTCTCAGTTAAATCGTCAGTGATAGTACTTACAATGTTCATTTGTTTACTGTGCATCTACACAACTTTTCGAGATCCGCAAACTAGCCGAAAGTACATCAACCTCATTTCAGCCCTACTTGAATTTTTATTGCTCTTTCATGCCTGGGAATAGTATTTTAGAAGCGTACAATCGCATCGGTGTAAAGTATCCTCTTATAAAATCACGTTTATCATCGTAATAAAGCAATTGCACATATATGGTGAATGATTTTTCTTCTAAAATCAGCAAGTTTTTATGTTGCAAGCAAGAGTTACTCATGCAAAGCTCATGATTTGCGAATTGGTTGTGTTTGCTTAGAAAAATTTCAATTAATAATTGAATAAAAAGCTTTCGCGAAAGGCTAACCTCAGTAAAACGCCCTCGATCATGGAACTACTGGCTAATGAATTCTTATGCAAAGATATCGCAATAAAAAACGATGTTGCTTCCACTTCCATACTACAGTGTTTCGAAAATTCCGTCAGATTATTTCTTTGCTATGAGCGCCTAATCCAGCTTAGCGTACGATAAGATAGTAATCCGACCAACAAACCACTGGAGAGGAGGTGCGAGAGCATCACATGATTTGAAAACCTTCTCGGTCTGAATGCCAATGGGACGAAAGTTTGTAATGATTAAATAATAGTGGAAGTAGCTTGAATGTCCTCTTTTCTTTAAACCTCGGCATTACAATGATGTAGTTCTATTTGTTAGTTGTGCCAGCACGAGGTTTCGGCGAAGCTTTATTAGTAGAGCGGCCTAACGTTTCGAGCAATCCTCGCCTTCAGAGGCCTAAAGTGGCGCGCGATTAATGATCTTATGTCTGTCCCACCAAACGCCTTGTCAACCCTGGCCAGTTTTTCGATCCTCCCTATGGATTCACTAGTGAAAATCAAACGGGATGACGAACGCACCGTGGCTCTACCGCTATCGCACCGATGGTGGTGTGAGCGTATTTTGTGTATTTTATATGTATAGCGTATAGCGTATTATGTGTATTTTCACTAGTGAATCCATAGGGAGGATCGAAAAACTGGCCAGGGTTGACAAGGCGTTTGGTGGGACAAACATAAGATCATTAATCGCGCGCCACTTTGGGCCTCTGAAGACGAGGATTGCTCGAAAGTTAGGCCGCTCTACTAATAAAGCTTCGCCGAAACTCGTGCTGGCACAACTAACAAATAGAAATAGTGGAAGTAGTAAAATTCGAGCGGTTGCTTGGAATTCAAAAGAGACTCGCCAACCACAAGTTTTCTGGTGATTTCCGATAACTAATTCCCATATAGAATTATTGATGCAGATTACAAACCGCGACATTACTTTACAAATACAGGGTGTCCCAAAAAGATGTGCCTACTGTTTGATTGTTAATAACTCTCTTGTAATAAAGTTTCTCGAAGAGCTTTAGGCACCATTTGTAGAGCTGAATTCAACTTAGATTTATCGCATGGTGCGAATCAACACTATCTTCTACTGTAAGATTACGATAGGAACTTTGAGGAGAGTTTTGAGTAAAAAGTTCATATCACACACCTAAAATGAAAACTAAAGAAGCTAAAGGCTCTTTCCTACACTAGGTTAGTAAAGACTAAAGCGTTATTGCCTTCCTTACGTTTGCTGAAACAGAATATGATATGTATTCGAGATTGCAAACCTTTTGGACAAATTGGATCTTTATGAGATTTCGAAACAAGAGGTCATATGCGGGAAAATTCAGGCAGTAAAAGCAATATGGCCGACGTTCTATAACAGCATCTTACAGATGGACACGATGCCGTAGAAGTGTGCGGTTATCAGACTCCACCTCCTGCTACTGTTACATCAACCAAATCTACTTCTGCTACTCCAAAAACCGTCGTCACCGTTCCCGTTCCCATTACTCAACCTCAAGGACCTACTCCAAAAACCGTCGTCACCGTTCCCGTTCCCATTACTCAACCTCAAAAACCAACCACTAAGCCTGCGCCAACAGTGGTGACAAATGCACCGCCTACTCCTGATACTACGAAATGTGTGTGATCTAAGAGAGAAAAGTATGCCTGTGGAAACCCTAGGATTTTTCAGACTGCCAAGGTGTTATGAAACGCGATGTTGTACTGCTTATTGATACAGCAGCACCCACCTCGTCTGATGATAAGAAGACCGCACTGGCAAATCTCCAAAGCAAGGTGGATAATTTTTCTGCAGTCAAACTACTAAAATAAACATGCCATTTTAGTTATCCGCAGGAATTCCGTTCCAATCGGGAGCCAGAGTGGCTATAGTTAATCTTCAAAATAGCCAGGTTATAGGAGATTTTGCTGCTAACGCTAGCAGTTTCAACGACAACTGGGGAGAGGTAAAATTCAAATCTTTCACCAGTTAAAAAATCCAGTAAATCTTTTTTGGACACCGACAACTTTCGTTCGTCTAAGGCAAAATCATATTTTTTTCCGAACCCATTCTTTTTTAGAGTAGATGATGAACAAAAATTGATCAGCAGTTATATTTCGCTATTTTCTCTATCTCTTTCATGAAAATTCAGCTCTTGCAAAATTCATTCAACACCACCATTGGCTCCATTGATGTCTCTCTTGCTTACGGAACTGTTGGCAGCCTTCTCAGGAAGTCGAATCCAATGGAAGCAATTCTCATCACTGATCACATTCTGTAATTGACCTCACCTAGCTTTCTTTATTTGCTACATGGAATCTTACAGGGCGCCAATTGCACCAGAAGATGATGTACGCCTCAAAGGAGTGTTTGTCTCAGCTGCGCTGCCTACAAAGCTCAACCTTCCGTGAGTTCAAGTAATTCGGAATTTTTGTGGCAAATATGAATAGTCAAAACATGGGGCCTACTGCATATTATAAAATCTGAATAACTTATGACGCGGAAGTCGAAGTGAACATTTGAATAAATGGGAATTGTGTGACGTCAGCGGCTTAGTGAAAATAAGCCAGACGCTTGGATTATGGAATAGTGCGACCGTCACGGACTAATAGACCGCTTACTCGGCCACAGTTTGACGGTAAAGAAGAAGATAATAGCGAATTTAGTTGAATTTTTGCTCACATTGATATAAGGGCCATCTGTACTAGATCGTTGCATTCCATAAACCGAAAGAAAAGTAGCATACAAGCGCGTTCAGCAGTGCGAGATCAGAGACATGGTAGAGAATGCTGAAGTACGAAAATATCACAGCGAATTAGATACCTTAAAGGCAGTGGATCGGCAGAGTGGTCCCTTATCAGTTTTTGGTAGTGTTAGGGTAGACCCCTAAAGTCAGCAGCCCCAACTCCATCCTCCAATTCAATTCTAAGTCCTGGAAAGGAGCATTGAAACTCCACCAGCCCCGCCCACTTCCATTGGGTGGGCGTCGTTGGTGGAGCTCAAAAATTGGCAAAAGACATTGAAACTAGAGTGAGATCATAGTTTGCACATTTGAGACTTCATCTTTGACCTATCAAGGCTCCTTTTGTGGCACATACAGGGCTTATCAATTGAAGTGTCGGGTGCACCAGCATCTCTACCCTGGCGCTAGATTCTGCGTCTCTTCCGCGAACATGCTCTCTATCCATTTTCAATCGGTTGAGGCTCCGCCTTCCCCACGTTCGCCGTGGGAAAGTGCTTAGAGGGCATGTTCCGCGGAAGAGGTGCAAAATCTCGCGCGGGAGCGAAGCTGCTGGTGCACCCGACACTTCAGTTGGTAAGCCCTATATATGGACATAAGGTAACGAGGTTTTTGATATTTTTTTGTTACGCCTATGGGGACTACATAGCGTTTTTAGCAAAAAAAAACTACTCATATATCTCTAGTCATATGATTAGTCATCGTATTTGGGTAATTTGATTTATAAAGAATTGTAAGGCCAATTTAAACAAAACATGAGATAGCGGGAAACCGCGGCGAGTCCCGAAGCGAACGCCCTTGCAAATAGCTTTTATATTACTGGTTCACTAGTTCAGACTAAAGGGCGGCAAGTCAGGCCACAACCAATAGGATATAATTTACTTACTTTGCGATTTCAGAGGAGTCGATAAGCTGACCACAGTTTCGAAAAGTTACGCGAACTGGACCGATATGGCCGCACAAGATCCCTTCGCCACTTTATTCTGCCAATGTGAGTGTTTTTAGGTTAGCTAACCATGCAAAAATTCAAATTTGGCTCGAAATATCTTTTTATGTAAAAATAAAGAAACAAATAATAACATTAATATAATTAACGCTGTTTACCTCATGTGTTTGCTTTGTTACAGATAAAGCAACATTAATATAGTTAACGCTGTTTACCTCATGTGTTTGCTTTGTTACAGATAAAGCAAATCTGTCAAATGGTAATATAATATTTTTTGAGACATCAAAGCATGATATAACATTTTTCAAGACAATGACGGAACAGCGCTCAACAACGCTCGCTTCAGTAGCAGTGCAGCAGTAGATGGAGGTTGATCTTGTTCTTTTGGATTTTTTGTAAGGGAAAACTCATTGTAAAATTTAGATACTCCAAAGTGTCAGAAGCTTGACATTATCGTTGTATTTGACACTTCTCAAAGTGTTGTAGAGCCATTTGTGCAGGTAGGTCTAGTTTGGCAGATGTGGTCAGAACTATGTAAGAGAATTTCTTTCCAAAGCCTCCCGACAAACTTCTTTTTAGCAATATGTAAAATTCTCGATTGATTTCATCCAACAATACACTTTGAGTGGAGCACCCGATGGCGACAACACCCGCACAGGAGTCATTCAATTCAGGTTGGTGCAATAGATAACTTTTTTAGAAGTAAATTTGATTCGACAGCTCTACTGCAACCACCCTCCTTCCACTGGACGAACATTTCTTGGATGAATTCAAAGCAGTTGTCAATGGAATTCACTATACTGGTGGAACTACCAACACCCTCGAGTGAGTTACATTACGTTGATCCTGCTTTTTCTTTTAAAAACATATAAAAAGATAAGCTACTGTATTCGACTACGCCCGATAAAGACGATGACAACTCTCCGTGCAAAATAGCAGTCAGAAAAATACGTTGAACTCAAGTTGCAGCATTTGTGCGATTGCACACATACTATCATTCAAACTGCACGTCAAATCATTGTGCTACACGGCCAAATCATTGTTGGCCATGTAGCAAACGTTTTTTTGTGACGGAATGCTCCAGAATTCGCCGAAAAAAATCACAAACAAGAGACGAAAGGACCCGCTTGGGTGTATAGTCGAAAACCAAAGCCGAGTTCTATAGATTATTGACTGTTACCATTCTTCGTAACGATTGTACCGGTAGCAATGGCAACAGTGCCACGAAATAAACACTGATGAAAAATGTGAAAAAAAATGGACTCAAACTTATGTCGTGCTAGGCTGTAATCGATTTCTGCAAAAGAAATTTAAACCCAAATATACGATTTTTCAATAAATAGAAAACCAGGGGAATTAGGCTGGGGTTCTAGAAAAACGCAAGGACAGTTTTATACCTTCGTATCTTGCTCTAAAGCTGAAGGTACCCAACGATTTTTTGGAACACTGCGAGCTGAGGTTGTAGAGCACAATCTGCACTTACTAAACATAGTTCAAGTTGTTTCATTTGTAAATTTTTCCATCATACAATATGAAGATAAATGCTAATACTAGTAATATTATAGGTTTGACGCTACAAAATACTATAGATAGTATCGTCAAGACCAGTGTCAGTGTAGAGTCTGTCAACCTTGCTCAAAGGCAGCGGTTCAGCGGAATGACAAGTTTAGGATATTCATCGTTCTCGGTTCTCCTAAATGATCAAAAGATATCAATAACTCGTTTTTTCAGACGTGAGAAGTGCTATTTGGGCGGAGGGCCAAAGCCTGCCCTCTAGAGCGGATTGGCTCGTGAGCGGAGATACGTCCGGAAAAGCGAGTTATTAATATCTTTAAAAGCTGCAAAGCACTTCAGTCTCAGCTCATTCAAGGAAGTCAAAAACGATGAATAATTGAATTCCAAAGTTGCCATTCTGCCGACCCACTGCCTTCAAGCCAAGCATTTCATTTGGAATGACATGCTAATTGGGAATATTCTTTCTAGTGTTTTGTCGTTTTCTACATTCTAAGCTTCATAAGAACTATTAGCTTGTACACTGGTAATACAGGAAAGAGAATTTTAAGTGTCACAGTCGGTGCGGCTCAGTTCCTCCCAAGCCGCCTCGCTCGGGTCTTTCGCCGCGTCGCCCTCAGCGGATACGGTATTTTCCCTCGCTTGAGGCGTGAATACCGTATCCTTGGGCATCAATGGTCGACAAGCTTGGGAAGATGCTCCGAGACACGTTCGCGAACGCGTTGAGTGGCTAAAGCGAGGCGGCTCGTGAGAACTCGAGCCGCACCGATCGTGACACTCAGATTGGAATCCTCTGTAAATATGTTGGAAAAATGGCAAATTACGGAGATTTAAGTGATTTTGAACATAGGAAAACGAACATCAAAGAAAGAACGACGGCGGTGCCTGGACTGCAAATGATAAAATGAAACTAATAACTACATCAATGAAAATCAGCAACATTAGACTGATAGATCAAACATCCTCCAAGATATTTCTTCAGTCATAGTGATTGCAAATCCAATGTTGGTAGCATCGTTATCAGCATTAAATTCTGTTATCAAATTTTGTTTGATTTTATTAGGGGGCTAGTATCAGTGTTAGTACAATTACTAGTGATATTGGTACCAACATGAGAGCCAGAATCCAAACAAGTACACAATTATCACTAGAAGCTTGTATTTCGGTAGTTCAAAGTGCAAATATGACCCAAATCTTGTTGATGCTGATTATATATACCTACAGCTGTAATATCCAATAATCAATAACCACAGAAACTATTCAAAAGCTATCTAGAAAATAATTGAGAATTACCTTGATAGGAATACAAAATTATAGAAATGCTAGTGCAAATTATAGGAATAGTTGATCAAACGTAAAGTTTCAGGGCCATGAAAAGAGGACTAGAAATGTTCAAGGGCTCCCCAACTACCCACGGTCGAGCGATGGTGTTCCTCTCAGATGGACAGTACGTATCTTCAACATAAATTTTTCTCCAACACAAAGCACAACAAAATTTAGACCCTATCCTCTGGACTCGGACACTTGGTCTCAAATCGAAAGTGTGGGAAATGAGCTGAAAGCGATGGGTGTTGACATATTTTTCGTTGGTGATGACAATGGTTATGACGCGGATACGAGAAAAGTTAGTGGAAAAAATTGAGGACACAAAAAATCTAAATTTTACTACTTTCAGATTTTATCCAACATCACCGGTAATTCTGATTGGGTATACAATCAGGTCTCAGATGCATCAGTAAGTCTGCCAGTGGACCTTCTGAAACAGTTTCCATGCCCACCAAGAGGTATGGTTTTCAAAATTATGCTACCAGACCATCGACTCAAATTTTTTATAGTTTGCGAAATGGCTTACTATGCAGTGGAAATTTCCGAAGCTCTCCCGGAACAGAACAAAATTCAGGTCAACTCAAAATTTCCTCCTGATCGTTTAATCATGCATAAAAACGTTACAGAGCTTGTATTTTATCTTGCAAGTGGCACAGAATGTTTACAATCAGAAGAATTCCACTCAGTTCCAGCTCATGGTTTACAATGATAATCAATAGTGGGTCTTTGTTTCAATATCTGAAATATTCGTTAAGTAATGCATATTCAGTTTCCTACCAAAAAATGGTAACTATTCTTTTTACGATTTCAAATCGACTGTGACGAGACTGATTCAAGATAGAGAATATAGGCAAAGTTTTTCAAGCGGACATACCAGAATTGATACGTGAGTCAACTTAGACTTTAGATCTACAAAATTTCTCCAGATCCAAGTTATAGAGCCATTAATTTCTTGGCCCGCGACATGATTATTCAGCAGGAGCGACGTCCATATTTCCAGAGTAGTGTACTTTTTGCTGGACAAGCAAAGTAAGACTGTCGATTTTCTATCGAATCGACATTCAAAACAATTTATAAATTCAGCTCTGGAGCACTAGACCCAATAAACGACGAAACCGCACAAAAACGAGATCTTACACGAGCTGCGCAGACTGTAAGTGTATGGGTGTCCCAAAAGTAAGCACGCAATTTGCTTAGCTTTAAGTGCCTTCACTAGAGCAGGTTTCATAGCAAATTTAGAGGATGAAACAGATCACCTATTGCTCCCCATCGCTGTAGGACCACGGTAGGAACTTTCAGCACACATCGTCATTGTGGAATAGGCCGTTCGAATAAAATTTCCAAGGAAAGAATATGGAAAGTGCTGTGAATGTTTTCAAACACGCTGACTTCATTAGGCAATTTAGCTTTTATGCTTTTCTAATCGTTTGGTCACGTTTTTGAAAAACACGTTCCTCTACGATGTTGTTTATTAGTTCAAGCGAAGCGTGCTCTACTGAAGGGCACCTGAAGCTAAGCAAAAGGCTTTGGGTAAGAATTATTAACGATTAAAATCTGTACTTACTTTTGGGACACCAATGAAGTAAATTCTGAGAGAAATTGCTTGAAACGCAATGGTTGAGAATGTGCAGTAATTTTTCTTTGATCACAATTTCAATAAAATCATTATTCGAATACAGTTGTGACCGTGGAATTTGTCCAAAATTGCGGGATATTCGGGATTCGCGGGATTTTCGGGATTCGCGATGTTTGCGGGATTCGCGACTTCACGGGATTTGCGGGATTTGCGGGAATTGCGGGATTTAGCTATAACTTCTTTTAAATCCACTTTATTTGCAATCTGCGTGTAGATTTGGCTTCAGCTTGATGAGACGAATCGTCTGATACACAGTATGTCCGTAATTCGTGGTGAGGGGGTAGGCTTACAATGATACCTTGTTGTTCTCTATGTTAAGGCTTTTGTGAACATTTATCACAGCGTAAATCACGAATAGCAGGTTCTGGTACGAAGTTTTCATTACCGAAAACTATCGCGAAAAATTGGGCAGTTTTTATTTACCCTTATCACTGATATAAGCATTTTATCATTTATCACTGATAATATCACATTTTTGGATCATTTTTTGCATATGGTAAGGAAAGTACTGTAGGAAAAGCTGTGTGAATTTCTATCGCTCTTTCTCTCATTATAAGTGATCTACAGGCTTTTCTAGTTCTATTGCTCGGTGCAATTGGTAGATCCCTCGCTGCAGCAATCGATCGATTTTTCATCGGCACATGCCATTGCTGCCAATTCTTACCTAGAATGGCATTTTTGCTTCAACTCGCTTCACGCCGAAGCCTGGGCTGAAATTCTGCACCTATATGGAAGATGAAAGTGGAGATCGACCGCATGAATTTAAGCCATTCTTATCTGTTGTTGTCATTGATATCATCATTTTATCATTTATCACTGACGACACAAAATTGGATCATTTTTGATATACAATAAGAAATGTACTTTAGAAAACGCTGTGTGAGTTTTTATCGCTCTATCTTTTATACTACAAAACCACTCACAGAATATGCAAAATTTCCGGGAATTCCGCGAAATTCATGTGACTCACGCAAATTACGCAGGGTCATAACTTCTTTCCGAATGAGTATATTCAAAATCCGAAAACAACTTTGTATTCAGCTCGTCAAGGCGAATCTTTTTATATACAGGTTGTCTCCAATATCTTGTTTTCAATAATCTTGAATTTGCATGCCGAAGCCTCTTCGCATGGGTGTAACGCAACAAGCATCACACATAGGAGACTGCCATGGGTACGTTCGATAGAACTCTTTCACTAGATTATCGTGCGCTAAACAGCAGCCGAAGACTCTCTTTTAAAAGAGATAGAAGAGCTGATAAACTCTGGAAAAATTAAGCTGTTCCAAGTTCTACTAGCCGTAACTTTCTTTAGAATGAACATTTTCGAAATCAGAAAGCAGATTGTGTTCATCTTCGTCAAGTCGAATCTTACTGTATACAGCATGTCCTTGAAATTCCGTTTTCAATTTTTTCAAAATTTTCTGCCGCGTATATTCACAAGGTCGCAACGCAGCGCACATCAAACATAAAAGACTCTATTAAGCACTGTTGGATTGTGCTGCTTCCGCAGATTATCGAGCGCTAAGAAGCAACCGGAGAATCTTCTTGGAAAAAGATAGAAGAGCTGGTGAATTCTGGAAAATCGTGTTGTCTTAAATTTTGCCCACAGTGACCCTAAAATGAGAAGCTCTACTAGTACTCTGCGTTGATACCACTGCTTGCAGGTCAGATAACCTCTATGAGCAAGTTTTCAAAGAAATTCAGGTGATTTGATTTTTTTTCTCGTTCTACGCTTTGAAGCTCGCCGATGGGTTTTGGTCAAAATGTCGATGACCTTGGATTGTAAAGAAACTTCGCCTAAAGAGGTTTTCGAGCACGCTGTTTACGAAAATAGTGGTCTTTGAAGAAGACAGGGTCTTTTTGTAGAGATATTGTGAGGTGACTGTAACTGAGTCACGAAAGCAACGTAAATTTGCCTGCACTTTTCGCGAATTTGTCAGAAAACTTGGCCTGCTTGCTTTTCCAAGTCAAAATCACTGGGAATCGTGCTATCAAAAGGTGCATGCTCAGGCTCCAGTCTATAAAGTTCGCCGAGTTACGAGCCTACGAAAACACGTCCTCATGAATTTCGCTCAAAATGTAAATATCGCGTATTTCGCCGAAATTCCACCGTGACTGGTTGTATAACATACTGATCAAATCTGTTCACATGATTAATGGTCTTAATGTGCTGGATTTGGAAATTAGGTAGATCTGAGCTCAAGCTACGAAGGTGCTTGGATATTCAAATGAGCAGCTGAAGACTCGCGCGCACACCACATTCAACTCAATGGGATCCCTTAGGCGAAGTGAGCATATGCAATCAGAATGTCATACAACCACTGAGGGTGGAATTTCGACGAAATACGCGATCTTTACATTTTAAGCGAATTCATGAGGACGTGTTTTCGTAGGCTCGTAACTCGGCGAACTTTATAGACTGGAGCCTGAGCATGCACCTTTTGATAGCACGGTTCCCAGTGATTTTGACTTGGAAAAGCAAGCAGGCAAGTTTTCTGACAAATTCGCGAAAAGTGCAGGCAAATTTACGTGCTTTCGTGACTCAGTTACAGTCACCTCACAATATCTCTATAAAAAGACCCTGTCTTCTTCAAAGACCACTATTTTCGTAAACAGCGTGCTCGAAAACCTCTTTAGGCGAAGTTTCTTTACAATCCAAGGTCATCGACATTTTGACCAAAACCCATCGGCGAGCTTCAAAGCGTAGAACGAGAAAAAAAATCAAATCACCTGAATTTCTTTGAAAACTTGCTCATAGAGGTTATCTGACCTGCTGATTACGAAAATCACATCTGCTTAGCAGTAGAGCTTCTCATTTTAGGGTCACTGTGGGCAAAATTTAAGACAACACGATTTTCCAGAATTCACCAGCTCTTCTTTTTCCAAGAAGATTCTCCGGTTGCTTTTTAGCGCTCGATAATCTGCGGAAGCAGCACAATCCAACAGTGCTTAATAGAGTCTTTTATGTTTGATGTGCGCTGCGTTGCGACCTTGTGAATATACGCGGCAGAAAATTTTGAAAAAATTGAAAACGGAATTTCAAGGACATGCTGTATACAGTAAGATTCGACTTGACAAGATGAACACAAATCTGCTTTCTGATTTCGAAAATGTTCATTCTAAAGAAAGTTACGGCTAGTAGAACTTGGAACAGCTTAATTTTTCCAGAGTTTATCAGCTCTTCTATCTCTTTTAAAAGAGAGTCTTCGGCTGCTGTTTAGCGCACGATAATCTAGTGAAAGAGTTCTATCGAACGTACCCATGGCAGTCTCCTATGTGTGATGCTTGTTGCGTTACACCCATGCGAAGAGGCTTCGGCATGCAAATTCAAGATTATTGAAAACAAGATATTGGAGACAAACTGTATATAAAAAGATTCGCCTTGACGAGCTGAATACAAAGTTGTTTTCGGATTTTGAATATACTCATTCGGAAAGAAGTTATGACCCTGCGTAATTTGCGTGAGTCACATGAATTTCGCGGAATTCCCGGAAATTTTGCATATTCTGTGAGTGGTTTTGTAGTATAAAAGATAGAGCGATAAAAACTCACACAGCGTTTTCTAAAGTACATTTCTTATTGTATATCAAAAATGATCCAATTTTGTGTCGTCAGTGATAAATGATAAAATGATGATATCAATGACAACAACAGATAAGAATGGCTTAAATTCATGCGGTCGATCTCCACTTTCATCTTCCATATAGGTGCAGAATTTCAGCCCAGGCTTCGGCGTGAAGCGAGTTGAAGCAAAAATGCCATTCTAGGTAAGAATTGGCAGCAATGGCATGTGCCGATGAAAAATCGATCGATTGCTGCAGCGAGGGATCTACCAATTGCACCGAGCAATAGAACTAGAAAAGCCTGTAGATCACTTATAATGAGAGAAAGAGCGATAGAAATTCACACAGCTTTTCCTACAGTACTTTCCTTACCATATGCAAAAAATGATCCAAAAATGTGATATTATCAGTGATAAATGATAAAATGCTTATATCAGTGATAAGGGTAAATAAAAACTGCCCAATTTTTCGCGATAGTTTTCGGTAATGAAAACTTCGTACCAGAACCTGCTATTCGTGATTTACGCTGTGATAAATGTTCACAAAAGCCTTAACATAGAGAACAACAAGGTATCATTGTAAGCCTACCCCCTCACCACGAATTACGGATATACTGTGTATCAAACGATTCGTCTCATCAAGCTGAAGCCAAATCTACACGCAGATTGCAAATAAAGTGGATTTAAAAGAAGTTATAGCTAAATCCCGCGAATCCCACAAACATCGCGAATCCCGAAAATCCCGCAATTTTGGACAAATTCCACGGTCACAACTGTATTCTTTTATTTTCAAAAACTCACAATGCATAACGAAAATTAATCTTTCTTTTTATAGATCTCTAGCGTTTGCTCCTTAGTTTATGCGCTTGATGATTCCAATACCAACACAATTGCATATGGACCTGATCTGTGGTATCTTGTAAGAGTTGCCCTTAGCCTTTGCAATTATTGAGTTCATCGAAATGTGCTAAGGTTGTACCCAAAACGAGAACGATACGCATATCATCAAATGATCTTGAGAAGGACCTCGAAGCCACTGATTACTATACGCAGGTGCAAGCATTAGAGTGTCGATTACCGGACCTAGGTAGGGACCTCTCAATGGCAAAATTTAACTCTTTCGTCTTTCACCATTATGAATTTCAATTCTAGCAAAGTGCGCACTAAATTTCATTGATCTCGGTGTGGCTTTCGATTTAACCGGACCCGAACCGCTGACGAACAATGTAAGTTTGATTAATAAAGCATTTGATGGCATTAACAACAAAATGTTCTCTAGATTACTGATTATGTCAAGAACATTCTTGGACAATTTAACACACTTTACACAGGTGAGTCAAACTTTCTTCAATCAAATGGCTGCGCATATCGGTTTTTTCCAGCACATATTTCCATGTACGGTTATGGAGGCGGTAAGCAGCCACGGATTCTTGCATCATTATCGACACATCAGGGTAAGCTACGTTTATTTATCATTTGTCTAAATGTGAATGATGTTTGAGTTTGCGAAAAGGTAAGAGAAAGCAAAAAAGAACTGAAAGAGGTCTCCTGTAAGATAAGAGCACTTTTACCAAGTTCCATTTTTTATGAACTCACAAAAATAACGAATAAGTATACATAAGTTTAGGTCTTCCTTCGTTACTAAGGAGTTCTGGAGAAAACCTAGAACTCATTTTAAACTCCGAAAAAGAAGGGACGAAACGTTCTCATTCCAATTTTCTTCATTACTTTATTCCATTTCGCAGAATCATTGGGTCACGTTTTCTGTAGATTTCGGTCCATCCAACTCTGAAGTGGATATTTGAAGCTGAAAGCTAATACATGTGTTCTGAAGCATATGTAGGACTTTGTATATTCTGGAGTGAAGACTGGAAAATAGTGCAGCTTTCTGCTTTGAGCTATCTAATTGAATGGCACATTATAGAATATTTCGCAGAGTTTGTGTTTTGCAGTTTGCAGAATTAGTTGCGCTACATGCTCTGCCACTTTTTTGAGCATTTTTTCAAAATTAGATGTCTAAGGCTGCAATACGTAATCTGCTGTGTATGCACCATTTTGATCATTAAGTCTCTCTCATACGCTCAAAAACCTCCTTTCTACTGCTTCTGAATACGTGCCCCAAAAAAATGTGCCTACTGTTCGGTTATCAGTAGCGCTCCTTTCATAACGTCTTTGAGAGGTTTTAGGTACCATTTTGTAAGCTGGCTTCAACTTAAATTTACACTATAGAAAGATCAATCGCTTTACATTACTGTAAGATTACGGTAGGAACTTTTGGCATGCGTTACTGTGAAAAAAACTGCCCTTTTGGAAAATTTTCAAAAAATCCAAAAACGTCTTAGGTTTTTCACACCTGCGCCGTGTTCAATACTCAACTTTGTACAAGATTATGAAGTTTTCCATACGGTGTAATCGCACTTTTTAGCGATATCAAGAAAACGGCTGCTATTACTTACCTGGCATAACTTTTTAGGGAAACATTATAATGAGGTGCAAACTTCGTATTCAAAATCAGCAAATCTAAATAGTGTAACCGAAGCCAAGTACATGATTCGTGCAAAGAAGCAAAGAAACTCTGATTACAAGCTCATCTGACTGTTCAAATTGCAGATATGAACGACGGTTTCAATAATCTCGCGCACTGGCAGCTTGGCCTGCCTTTTGATACAACAACGATGTCGCCCACAACTCCAATGAAAGGAGATGAGGTGCTTCTCACCGAAAATGGTCAGGCAGCTCAATTTAGTATTTGTGCAGGTTGACCAACTTTCTTTTAGACTACACACCGATAACCTCCGATGATATCGACGGGTAAGTAATTGAAATTTTTGAATCAAATGCTCACAAAACTGGTAAAATTGGTAATAGAATATCTCTTAGTAAGTAAAAGAAAATCTATAGCGTTCAAAACAGCGCAAAATCTGAAATTGCTACTTTAAACTTCAATTTTCGCTGTGTATGGTTCAAAAATAAAGATCTAAAGCTGCAGTGGAGATATTTTTCGGATCTAGAAAGAGAACGTGTTATTTAAAAATTCTCATGGAAGTTTGATTTTTTTTTGTGCTCAGAAAATCACAGTTTTATTGAAATGGCTCTGCATCTCCAAAACGTTTTTATAGTGTGTCTACCGGCTCCCGGATAGCAAATAATGGAGCTGATTAACAGATTTTCATAGGCTCATTCTTTTAGTCTCTTCAACCTCATACACTCTCAATTCGGTTGTAGAAGTTATTCTGACGATGCGGATCGAATTCTCGCTCCAAATGTGATCTTTGTCGTTTCGGATAACTTTGAGTAAGTGTAGCCCAATCTTAAGGTCTAAAAACTGCATAGACTTTTTTAGATCATACACCAACGTCTGGAATAAATTCATAGACGAAAGGGACAGCGGCTGGGGATGCGACGATTGCCCGGGAACACCTGCTTACGTGTTCTTAAGCAGCAACACAGTGGCTGCTCCATCCACGCTTGGAGTAGGGTCCCTTGTTTTTTGGATAGTTTTTTTCTACGATAACTGTTCAGGCGACATACAACATCAATGATCCAGAGGCCTTCGAGCTGGATTCGTCCATGAAAGCTGTCAATTATTTCAATTCCATTGTCAATGGCATTTGTACAATGCCTTTAAGGAGTGAGTTTTGCCTTAGAAAATACAATCTGCAAAATTTATACTTTATATTAAGGCTGTTGCACCTATAAAGTTGCGAACGCATGTCAACGAAAGACGAACTTTTGGCAGATTTAGATAAGAGTACGAGCTTTGTTTTATTATATATTCTCAGAATATCATGTTGACCTATATCAATAAATCTTGTATTTACAGTAGGCCTTCAGAGTTATACTTGAAAGATCTAAATTATTCAACTAATAACACACATGAGCAAATACTTTCCCTTTGTCTTAAAATTTGAAAACCGCTTGATTGGTGCTTGAAAAGCTCTTCTCAGGTTAGATGAGATTTTCACTAGCTGTTTCGTCATCAAAAAGCTTTCAAAATTACATGTAAAGGAGTAACAATAAGCTCAACTGAAGACTATTTCAGGAGCCAGTTCCATCAGGTTTTTATAACGGATCTTGATCACAAACAAAAACATGATGAGGTACAATTAGTTGCTTGTTTTCCTGGAAAGACAACCTACAACGACATTTCGCTCCACTTTGATTTTTGTGAGACCGAATCGAAAATCGTTATCATGCACGGGTTAGCTATATAAGAAACAAGATGTGTACACCAAATCCTTATGTGTACTTTTATATTACGAAGAGTTGAAAAAACTTATGTGGCGTCACTGCCGTTGATTACTTTCCTTTTATAAATTTATAACACTCTTCCAGCATTTATTTTGCTTTTTCACAATATAAATTAACAGTACAGACATGCAAGGAATTTATTAAATAAATAGCAGAAGGCATTGAAGGCGAATCAAATTAGCTGAGAAGTTTCTCTGCAAGAAATACTTCCATGGCACTGTGTGCTCGTTTATCGGCTTTTTGGTCGTATGCGGCACCGGGAATTCCCCAATTTGCTGCTCCTGTAAAAATTTCTCAACGTCAATGAACAAAGTTAATGAAAAATAGAAAACTTTACCTGGCACGGTAAATGCATGTTGAGCATCGGCATACGAGGTGAAGTGCCAATCCGCTTGTCGTGCTCTCATTTCGTCAAGAAATTCGGCGGCCTGTAAAGCGTTGTTGCAAAGAAGTGCCAGAATTACTGTAGAATACGGTATCGCTCACGTTCTGATTGGTAGTATGAGGGTCAATGTCGCCATGATGTGCTTGAACTGAGGCTCCAATAGAGCTAGAATTTTGGAAATATAAATGAAATTTTAATCATTTCTAATAGTGATTTACGTGTTGTTTCCTGGATAGTTGGTCAATGTTCCGTGGAATGAGACTGCCGCCTGCAAACCTACATTGAATCGTGCCAGATCCAAGCAAGTCAGCCCACCAAAGCAATAACCGGTACATGCTATCTGGAAAACCATAAACGTTAAGTTGGTCAGCTTCAAGCGCACCGCCAATAGATAATACCAAGAGACCTTCTGATCTTTGACGAACTGCAAGCTTTTCACATAATTCCATGCTTCTCGAACTCTTCGCTGAAGTGTTGTGGTACGTTCGGCCAGAAGCTGTCCCATAATGGCAAAATTTGCATTGGTGTCGTTCGTGGCCACTCCCTTGCCATAGACATCGGCAGCAAAGGCAACGTATCCAAGCTTGAAAAGATACTTTTGGATTGTTAACTATATAGAGAGGACCTCACCTTTGCCAAATCACGAGCCTTCTGGTTTTCGAATTCAGTCCTGCCAGTGAAAGCGTGGAAAACAATTACGGCTGGCGTGGCTTTCTTTGGAAAGAGTGATCTGAAGTGTTCTCAATACTTCATTTTAACGAGATGTCCAAGGATTGAGCTACTTATGGTAAACGAGAAATCCTTGCAGTACAGTCCCGTTGTAAGCGCCGTATTCTACAAGTTTTTCCTCGTATGGGCCCTTTCTGAATATAAGAATAAGAATTTCTGGAAAAAAAGAGAGTAGATAGAAAAACTTACGGTGTAGGAAGTATTAATGGTGGTGCAGCCGCAGTTACAGAAACACACCAGAGGGAGATGGCAATAAACAGGAGCGAATGCATCTGCATATGTTGTTTTGATTGGGTCGCACGACGAAATTTCGTTTGATTGAGTAACGAGGAGGGCTGTCAGATTTTCTTCAACCATTCTTTCACTCACTATCATTCATTAAGTTTATTAGTGAACCAGCAATGAAAGGTGCTAGATTGTTCGCGCGCTTCGGGACCGCAGTGTGGTTTCCAGCTATCCGATATTTTTTGAATTGCGTCACGATTTTTTATATATTAGATATCATTCATAAATACAGGGTTTCCCAAAAAATATTCGGATCGTTTGGTCCTTGACATCCCCCCGCAGTCTTTCGCTTTTCTGGTAACATTCTGTAGAGCTGGCTTCAACATAAATCACAGTACAGAGCATATTACCTATTACATTGATTACTGCAGTATTACAATAAAATTTCCAGCATGCAGCATATTGCGAACCCTTGAAGAATCTTAGACAGAAATTTGGGACATTGTATGGCGGAATTTCCATGCAAGCTGATATACACTTTTGGCGAGCTTCCAGACCTTTTGGGATGTAATGACATTTTTTAGATACAACGACAAAACAGTTTTTGTAGTATACCTGAAAGTAATGAAAGAGAGACTACGAAAAAGTAAGAATTTATTCGGAGACTCTTGCTAACCTAGTGTGAAAAATATTCAGCTTGTTTGAGTCTTTTCTGAGGTAATATCATGAATCAAAAAAGCGATTGGTGGTTTGCTCTATACTGTAAATCTAAGCTGAAGCCAACTCTACAAAATGGTTCTGAAAGATCGACTGAAGACAGAGGAAGAAAGTTATTAGCGACTGAACAGTGTACACATTTTTTTGGGGCATCTTATTTGTGAGTGTCATTCATATAAGTCCGTGTCAATCATTCAGTTCATGCGCTTTACCTACTAACACACATGGATAAACAAGCAATGCATTTATGAAATTAAGCGTTTTTGCTCCCCATGACTTCAACAAAAGAAAACACTCCAAAGTCTTCTTCTACGCAATACAATTATAATATATGATAACTTGAAGCAGTTTTGAAACAAGGAGTCAATTCCAGCACTTACTGCTAGAAAAACCTGTGGAAGTGGCTCACGATAAAGCGCTTATCACATTTAAATATGCGGTCGCAATCTCATTAAAATAATACGAGCACGAGAACTAGCACAATCATCGAGACTAAAGTTTATCAGGTCAAACCGAAAACAACAGAGAACTTGGAAGAGCAGATTGTGCATAAACAGGATCCCTGCCAAACAAAAAACTCAATGAATGTGCCAGCAAGCACATTGAAGAGAGTATAACTTTGACTCTGTATAGTTTTTTAAAGCATAAGCTCAGCTTGAAGTAAAGAAGGTATGTTTTGCTCATTCCAAGTGGAAAGGACTTTCAGAATAAATCCGTCATTACCAGGTAAATGCAATGCTTGGCGACAGATCTAATTTGCATGTCTGTATGTAAATCATTTGCGCAAGAAGGCAATTTGCATTTACTATGTCATTTCTACTTTCAGAACTCATCTTTACGTATGCACTCACACATGCTCACGTACTGTGCGCTTTCAGCAAAAGTCTTTCTTGAATAGAGAATTCTAAGCACTTTTTTGATTCTTTGATTATTGAGGTCTTGCGAATCGTTGAACTTAAAGGCAGCGTCCAGGCAAACCTGGACATACGGGGTTCTAAGTGGTAAGTAATTTTGGGGTCCAATCTAAGACGCTTCCCAAGCGGTAGCTCAAATGATGAACTCATAGTTGAGATATTCGCCTCCAAACTGGACCCCCGGGATCGTATCGCATGAATTCATGGCGCGACACATCAGTTTCGCGCGAGGACCCACGACTGTCCCATAAACCCATACGAATACGATCCCGGGGTCCAGTTTGGAGGCGAATATCTTAACTATGAGTTCACCATCTGAGCTGCCGCTTAGGCAGCGTCTTAGTTTGGACCCCAAAATTATTTTTCATTTAGAACCCCGTATTCCAGATTTGCCTGGACGCTGCTTTTAAGATGTTCAATATAGATGTCCAATACTCGACAATTTCCAAGCGCAATTTATGTCATCTTTTCGCGCTCGGTTTATTTTATTTACATCGTTTCTGGGACAAAAAGCAAAGAGGATGTCGTTATGTGGCTGAAGAGACACAAAAATTGCAATGTTTCGTTTTTTGAGGTTTTTACGTTTAGCGTTTAGGGTAAAAGGGTCTTCCCACGGAGTTTTCAAAATCAAAGGGGACTTTGTCTTGAAATTTACCTGGTGCCAGTTCACGCCGAGCCCTGTTCCACAATAGTCGTCTTGCAAAGAATGAGCATTGAACCATAAGATTTGTATCTCAATTTCAATTAATCTTCCTGTATGGAAAAGCAGAAGAAAAGTGAGTCTCTGTTTGTTATTTCTCGAGTTCAGTAGAATCACTTACTGCTTTGTTCTATCGAAACCTTGTGCGTCAGCTCACAGAAGGGCTTCAACTTAATAAGTGTTCCATAAATTTTTGGACCTTATGGAGCACAAGCTTTCACAAACGAAGCAAATTCCGAATTTTTGGACACGTTTCTTGCGCTTCACATAACCATCCACGAGTTACGAATAAGGCCGATGAAGTCCGACAGAAACCAAGCCGAAGATACACTACTGGTGGATCTTTACTTGTACTTTATGTAAGAAATGTTACACTTAAATTCAACTCGTAATTGATATCTAGATTTATGACTGCAAACAGTTTTTCATATCTCGCTATCACTGCACATTTCGTTCAAAACATTTTTCCTTATGTTGAGATCCTAGCGTAATCACTCAGAATCTTTACAGCTCGCTAAGCATTTGTTTACTTTAGCATAACCTGGCACCAAATTTATTCCTGCGCTTATCTTTGATCGCACGTTAACAGCTTTCTGACTCAATGCTTCAGATTCCAACATTCCAGCCAATTCTGCGCTGCGCGTTCCATTCTCTTGCAGAAAAGGCAACGCCGCTTTCTCACGGTCCCGTTTTGAAAAGAAGATAAACAATTTTATAAGGCTACGAAGATGTAAGTAGACGCATAATTTGTTTTTCACACACCACCTCTAGACTGATAATCATCTATTTGTAAACCCCATCCCCATAAAGATCAAAAGTCATTTAAGAATTAAATTGATGCACAATTCATCCACCAATCTTGCAGTTTCTTGGATCTTCAATACTTTGTATCTTCTCAAACTCCAAAATTTACTTTTACTGCATGAAGAGAGAAAATGTTGCGCTTTCCAGCTGTGCTTGACCCAGACTGCCTTGTGTCATATGGCAGCGATGCAAGTTGGTTGAGGAAACACTCTTAAAGAGGTTTGGAGTTGTGGTCACTAAAGTTGCTAACTCCACTAGTTCCCAAATTCAATGGTTGTGGCTGTATGATCTACCCTTTCTGGCTGTGCAAAGTTTGTGGAGATTGAACGCGTGGACGGATAGTTGCAAATATTTCGTTCGACTTTCAAATAAGTTTCAACTTAACGCTTTAGAGTGTGTCATTGAAAACGATGGTAGACAATTTACAATTGGCATACATAACAAAGAGTATATTATATGAATTTGTTATGTTTGAGCATGAAACAATTGAATTCACACTTTTTGTGCTGCAAGAATTTCAACCTGATAGCAATGTTTCAAGTCAATTCACAAACTGTTGGTGCATCATCGTGTCCACAATTCGTGTAAAGACAGAGTCGCGGCAGCTGAAAGTGCTGCAATTTTTGACAACGAGAGAGTGCGAAAAACAATGCTATAATGTGGAGGTCTAACAAGTTTGCCCTTATAGTCAGAAAAATAAAAAGTAACGTAAAGATCGTTCCGCTGGCAACGAGGGGCATGGCTCCTATCTTCTTGGAATTTTAAGTTTTTGAAGTTATGAGTATCAATGTCTATCAGTGCCTACATTTGTATACATATCTATCAGCCTATCAACATATATTTGATGTAAGCGTTTCATCTTTCTCACATTAGTCTGACTAGGATTAGACTCGGACTCACATGATGTTGTCTGCATTTGTTTGCATTTCTTCTTCATTCTGCTGTATTACTAACCTCTTGAAGTGTTTTTTATGGAACGCCTTGAGCCTAAAAATGAGAGTGAGAATGATGGAAATTCGCTTCTACGCGAACCTTGGAGCCGATCATACAAGTGGTTACTTTTATCTAGAAACAGTGATGCGTCAGTGCTTTGAATTTGCCAGATTTTTAAGGACGACGAACCATTGCGACGTAAGAACCGTTTCGACAAAGCTGCATCCATAACAAACCTTGTATGGCACAACAAAATGAAAAGTGACAATGATGCCAAGGTTTAAGGAACATGGAACATGGAAATCGTTAGAACAGCTACTGCCGCATGTGTCCCATTCGCCTCAGAGCTCTATCGCTACGCATAAAAGCGGTAAATGCCAGGTAATCCCTGACCTTCTTGAGGCGATGCAGACGAAACAATGTTCTACCTGCTTTCATTCAGAAAAGTAGGGGCCCGTAGTAAAGCTTGGTCAAGAGGGATGATCTCCCCTGAGACCTTCATGTGAGTTTCCGTCAAGTGAAATGACGACCGCCCACTTCCGCATGCTATAAGAATGCAACGTTACCCGACATGTGAGCCTCAGGTTAGGTTCGGCAGGGGAGATGCTTTCCCTGCCGAGTCATCGAAGATGATCCGAGCGGTAATCTCTCGAAATAGTATGCTAATGAGGAGATTTAAAGAAAATTTCCTTAAATTACTCTTGAGTAAATTACGATACACGTCAGTTTAACATGTCGAACGTACTAATGAAGAGCCACAGTGCAGGGTGACGACCTTAGATCTAACAAGTGCGGCCACATCTCCGCCGCTAGTACCGATCACAAAGTGTGAATGATTGGCGAATGGGTTTTGACTTGTATACTTGCATGAACGTCCTCAATCATATCAATGCGGATGGTTAGAGTCGTTAACCAATGTCTCAACTTAGGCAGAGCTACTTAACTGAAGCTTTCCTCAGTTGAGATCGAATGAGGCAGC